TWAGTGTTTAGAAAAAATGTCTAGGATTGCATCTGTCTTRGGGTTTCTTTGTTTAAAAGAAAAAAGTTTAAAACAGTTTTAAAAATAACTGAATGTTGCATCATGTTTTAATTTGTCTTTAGTGTTGTGTAATACCTTAGGTTTTCTTCAAAGAGTGCATTATAGAGTAGTCTGTATATATGTCTTTTCTTGTCGGCATCACAMCCCCATGTRTTAAGCCAGCCTCTCACTTGATCAAGGTTTGTGGGTATTTCTGTGGCAAGCTTTCCTTTGACRGCAACCATTAGCTGTGCKGCRTAGACCTCATAACGGATAGAATCACAYTCGTGWAGRCCACTGAACAGCACTGACAATCTAATGAATTAATAGCCWATCAAYAATCATYATCACTGTCATCATCATCATCATTACAATCACTATGATCATCATTATCTAATTGTTATCATCGTGATTATAATAAGAACCATTTGTGCAGTAGTAAGCTATTGACATACATTCTTAGTCTTGCGRGAGAYGTWGGGTCATCTRMSGRCAAYGAACTTGACAGCTTGTCACAACATTTTTTTATTAGTTCGTCTCGTCTTTCAGTGACAATAAGAACCAAAGACAAAATGCTATTCATTACGCTTTCCATGTCTGAAAAAAAGATTAAACTTTGAGATCAGAGCACTTSAGAGGCACTAAACCTTATTTCTACACAARGCCATTGCGTTACCATTTTCATTTTTGAAGCACACGTGACAGCAGTCCAATAACTGTGATAATTCTTCCTGTAGAGGTGATGCACTCTCCTCTTTKATCTCGGCATCTTTGGATTTGAAATAAGCTCTTATTTCTTGTACCTTAGTTTCAAATAAAGAGAAAATTCATTWAATGTTTAATAAAGGATTTTATGATTATAATAATAACTCACTGATTTTAATAAAACTCTCTTAAAAACATAGCAAACAATCTTGTAAAAATACATGRGTAGAAGGAAAAATGTACGATCACCTAAAATCGCTATTAATGGTTGTGAGACATTTGTAAATTACCAATGTACTGTACAGTCATTGTAAGAACTCTTTACATGTAGATTAACTCATTTTGACCGCATTTTAAACATATGTTGTAATTTATAAGAAGTTTTAACAGTGAAATACATAGAAAATGACCGTGTAAAATGGAAAACAAATCGAGAAAGCGCCATTCCTGACAAGTTTCTCGATAAACCAGCTTTTGTGATGATTTTTTATTCACGATCAAGTTCATCGAGTTACGGGCCAATTTTCACACTAATGAACCAGCTGATCGAAGAAAATAATTTTCTATGAGTATCTAAGGGTTATTCTGTTAGTTTTCAAGGGTTATTTACCTGATCTTGCTCGTCAGCATCAATGAAAACCGGCAAAAARGCCTCCATTTTGAAACCACGAGACGACTTCTTGTTCTTWAGAAGAATRCCGCTGACTGGACTACAGGCTCATGACACCTTGAAAGGAATCATGGGATTTCATTCATTCATTYAWAACATCGATCAAAGTCGCGCGACGACTCCTTTTTTTCTTTTTCCGACTTAGTTTCATAATATATATTTATCCCTATCTATTATATCCCATTTTTCCAAATCAATTTTTAAATTTTAACTATCAAATCTAAATATTGTTTAATTTTCTATGTGACCAAGCTGTTTAATCCTTTAACTTAACGTACCAGTAGAAGTGTAGTATTTATCCTCAAATTCCATGAGAAAACCTTGCGGTCAAACACTTTTATAATTACTAGAWTCTCAACAAATCACGACTGCGATAAATTACACCGTTTTTAACCACAAAAAGAATCCGATTTGTTGGCAATTCTTCCATTTGTTAATACGAAAGAGGATTGGCGACCTGAACGAGTTCTCATTTTGTACAAGCATTAAGAATATATACAATACTGTCCCTTTAGCCTAATTTTAACACTAAAAACTACGGTTACATGCAGATAAAGTTGTGTCAAAAGTAAGTGAAGTTGCTCTGAGGAATAATGGCTGACGTAAAGAAAAGTCGCGAAAGTCTAGACCCTCGCCTCCAGTCTGTAATGGTAAGATTTTCTCGAACTTTCGGAGTATCATTTTAGTAGCAGTACTACATTTAGATATTGGATTATTAGCAAAACATATGATTATACGAGTGTTTGTCCTACATATCCCGATGGCTGTTTGACACCGCTTAAAATCAGATAAAAAAGATACGCCACGGTGATTTAAGAGTCGTTATCTGCTGGMATGTTCATCATAATCAAATCAGTGCGTATAGATTTCATATATTTAGAAGCCCACGCATCTTGGCTAATCAATGGTGCCCACATTGTGAATATACTTACAGAGGGAGTTGCACCTGTCGCGAAGGCAGCGCGATTACAAGAAATCTCAGTTGTTTGATTACGCAAAGCGACGCGAAAACGGCGYTCACAGGACGAAGGTGCTTTGTCAACGATTAGTCASATCAGGTCGTTATGTAAAACGTTACGAAAACGTACGTAAAACCTCAGCCTAGACGGAAAACGTACTTTCACAGGATGAATGAGCTAGTCRACGATAGTCAGATCAGGTGGTTATGTAAAACGTTACGAAAACGTACGTAAAACTTTAGCCTAGACGGAAAATATACGTAAACGCCAAAATAGGGACGTTTTAAAGTTGAGATCGTTTCCAAAGCCTATATTTTACCATAATTCCGCAGAGGAAGACTAGAGTGTGAGAGTAGAGCCTTCGTCTACTAACTATGATTTTACCTAAAGTTTACATTTAAAAGCTACTGAAGTGATTTCTCTAGCCATCTAACGGATAAAATCGTTTTTTATTTGCTGCGTAGATAAACACGTCGTAATATAGTTAAGGAAGGCATATTGCAAATAGCAAAATCAGCGGCGGGAAGTGAATTTCACATTTACATTCCTAATTCACATGATGTAAAATGATGTTTAATTGTATAAGTTGTGTCATTTGATACTACCAGAAATTCGAAAAAAAAATCAATAAAAACACAATAAGAAATGTCTTTGACTATTAGAGAATGTACAGTGGCTTTTCCGTTTTTGTCTCTATCGATCTCTGCGCCATCTTAGGGGTAATTACTCTATGATTCATGATTGTATCACAGGGAAACGACCAGTGAGAACTCAAAAATAGAACCTGCCAACAGCCTCCTTCACGGTTCCCTTGAAAGGTAGCAATGCCTTTGCATCGAAGCGAGAGCGTGCAAAAATAGATACCTTTAAATAATTGTCTCTAGGTGTGCAAGAAGGTTGTCTGTTTCACACGGTGCCACATTGATGTACAATACTTTATTTACAGGAAATGAAGAGATTTCTCATTAGTTTCTATATTATTACAACATACACCAACATGTCTGTGTATTTCTTTTCTTTTAATTTATATTTCATAACGTATAATTATCATCATGGCACTGCAATTCAAGAATATAAAAGAATTAAGTAACACACTTCAATCGAAAAGATAACAAACTCCTATTTTKGTGTAATAATGGCAAATTGTACCAATGTGAAATATCAAAGTGATGTTTTTACTRAAAACCGCTACAATCAAAAGATTTTTTATGCATATGTTTTGTTAAAAGAACGCAAATTCAATTATAAGGAAATTTTGCAGTTTTCCTTGATAAATATTATAATCASTCTTCACTTGAATCTAAATGAGGCAGAAAACTGTCCCCCGCTGAAGAAATTTTTATCAGTTAAAACGAGAGAACAGCACTAGCACTTTAATGGCTTCAATGTTTGCATTTAAATGGCTTTCCGTTATACACTTTCACTTGTCTACATTTTGATGGTTTCACCTTTGCATTTTGATGGCTTCCTTACACTTGATGGATTTTTGCACTTTAAGGGCTTTTTTTGCACTTTACTGGCTTTCCTGCAGTTGGATAGTTTTCTGTCGTTTTTTGTTGTTTTGTTACAATTGCAGTTTAATGGCTAACAGTGTCTAATTAAAACAACWCTAGGGCTGCGACATTATTTTAACACATTTTCGTGACTATCACATTAATATCTTTAACGTACGCTCCAAACGAAAATAAATGATTTCGTTACAAGAAAAAATAATCAACTCAACAAAAAGGATTTTAAAGATTGAAATGGCCCTTTTAATGTCAATAGTTAGTTTGAATAAAATCCATTTAAAAYAACCGTAATTACGGCATTTCCTCGGGGTGATTCTCATTAAATACTTCATTTTAAGCCATAATTTATCCTAGTATCAATTAAAACTCATATTCGATCTTTTTATGTACGATTGCAATTCATTTTAAAGGTAATTTTTCAACTTTCTTTACAAATTCGACATTTTATTTATTTCAACAAGTGGGGGTTTTAGAATTTCTTCTTCACATTGCTTTACACACATTGAAATGTTTTGATAATWTATTGTTTCATACAAGAATATCAACACTAGCAATGCTAATGACGACAAAACAAAACAACYTTTGTACTGATTTTCGTGTTTACCTGAAAGAACAAAGGCCCGCTGTTGTAATTTCCTTGAATGTTAGATACAAAGGTCAAAACAATGATGTGTTCGTCAAGAAATAATTCAGTATATTTTCAGRTGATACTTTTAGAAAGATTTCGTATCATTTGTGCATGGCACGCTACATGAGGGAATCAAAGTTAAATTATGATAAAAACTTGTGTTACTAGTAAAAAGATGTGAAACGTTTCCATAAGTGAAAAGTCTCCGCAATTGTAGCTTAAAAAGTAAACTAACTTTACCCCATTTAAAGGAAACACTTAATAATCTGAAGAGATTTCTATTTTTAAAGCAAATTTTAAATTTTTGCATTAAGAATTGATACATTACATTCTAGCTAACATTTTGACTATTTTTTTCGTTTTAATTCAAAAGATTGCTAAAAGAATTGCTTTGATAGGCCAGGTGAGTGGTCAAAACATTAAAAAAATCATAAAAAAGTAGAAATAATTTCATTAAAAACATCATTTTTTCTGAAATGTGTTTGCGTGCGCGCGAGTTTAGTTTATTGTGGGTGTTTTATACCGTTCAAGATGGCCGATARAYGACCATTTTAATCACTACTTTTACTCTGAAATCACTGTTTCTAATTACGTTGGTTTGACAATGCAAACTGATTTTCATYTTCAAATCATTCGTGACGWATGTAACTTTTAACTCTTTGTTTTCGCGCGCATGTCAAAGCGACCCCCGACCGGTATTTTATTCTCCAATTGTAAAAACGAAACCTTTTTTCATGATAAAGCATTATTCGATTGCCATAGACATCATTAAATGTAGACAAAAAACTTTTTACTCAGATATCTTGACAACGGAAGCCACTTTGCGAGCAATCCTTTCTAAATAGAGATTTATTTCCAAATAATCCAAGCTTCTATCTAAACTGTGATTGGCTCGTTGCTTCCCATAAGGATCGTAAATTTGTGTTGTTGTGTCCATATACTATTCCACGGTAGGAATTTACATATCGTCATACTGCAGAGGTCCGGAAACTGTGGTACAAAACACGGTAATATTACAACACTGTTTTGATGATTATAATCGCGACAAAAACCTGAATTGGAAGATGAACTACATTCGCAAAACCACAGCCTCTGAAGGGAAAGCAAGTCGAGAAGAGAATCGAGTTTAGAATCCGCACACATCAAGRCAGGTGACAGAGAATTGACGAGYGAARCTGACCAATCCAGAACTACAAGTTCACACAATGGAGCTCGAGGTACCGCTTTCTTGTTTTGATCTTTAAGCTTTGAGCCGTATGCTTTATAGAGTTTTAAAGCAATGATAAATCAATAGAGAGGGATGGCTTGAAGGTCGGCATATGGCGCTCTCTTAGTGTCATTTTTACGTTTTATATGGGTCATTTCGATTGCAATTTTCAGAGTCGAAAGCAAGTACAAGGATCCAGCCAACTGCCGTAGGCTTTTAAAGTAAAATCTAATAGCAAATCAAAGCCGCAAAAAATGAAGTTTATTGTAAAACTGAAAATAATGATCTTTCAGCGGCTAGCTTAACGGGCAATTTGCGATGTAGCACAGATATTTTGCRCTGTCTCGATATTCAAGAATTACAGGCAGAAAATGAAATTAGAGCGTTACTAACYGTCTATATATATGCCTTGTTATGTGGAGGAAAAACCATGTATCGACTGGACATTAATGATTTAAAGCGAAAGAAAGCAAGCTTTTTAGACTCAAAAGTTAACTATAGCAAATCCTCAATTACATTCTGAATCTGACAGGAATATGAATCAAGCAGAGCTCGATTTGAATGGCATTACAAACTGAATTTCGTTTGACCATGAAGTGGAGAAATCAAATATGAAGTGCATTTAGACATTACAGTCTGTTTAGTTCATGAGCGCTGTTGATCCACAAATCGCCAAATTTTCGCCMTATGAACGCTYTTTGTATTTCATCAAAACTGTCTTCAATGATAATAGAARTTGTGAATGATACTCAAGTAATGGCAACCCAAAAAACAATTTTATGATTAAAACAAGCCGGTTTGACATTACTAAATATATAGAAGGAGTCGAACTAAACGAGAAAGCATAATTTTCCTTTTATTTAGGACTAATTGTGGCTTGAATTGAATCGTAATAAAGAGGTTGATTTATATGACCGCAATTTTAAAAGCATSTTGTATAGTATTCTCTTAACTTTTTCATATATCTAACGCCACAACATAAATTATTCYACAGAATGGTTTCAAACAATAAGGAATCAGTTTCATTCTGATTTTATCAGAAAAGATTTTAGATCTCTCAGTTCTATTTGAGCGTAAAAATAATATTATCAAAATAATCTAATTGTTTGAGTTCTTGGGGTGAAAAATTGGAGCATAAAGTGTTTGTTTTTTATCAATTTTCTACTTTGTGGGGTCTTAACTGCACAAATAATTCCAAACCTTAATTTCCTATCTTTTGATTAATGCATATCCTTAAGATTATTCACAGCGAAAACACAATCAYCAAAAAAAGCCAACAAAAAGCAATAAAAATGCTAGATTTCTGTATGAAGCATGTTGCGTTAGTCTGATGGAAAGTTTTATGTTCAATATTAAATAAACTAAATTATATGATAGCAAAATTTTCACATTTCCGGATATTGGAACGAATACATCATATTTTAAGCTTAGAAATAGAAACATATGTATAGCTTTCGAGATTAGGTATTTTGCCCAATTATATGTATACATGTATATAKATCAATTTGAATCTGCGAGGGACTTTGGCGCCATTTTATGATCAATTCTGACAGCGCACGATTTATTTCCCACTAAGCAATTCCTAATAAATAACTCTTCGCTTTTTTCTTTGCATTTCAGAACTTTTGTACATTTTTGCTTCATTTGACGAAATTCTCAAAAAAAATACATAAATAAAAATAGTCAAAAGATTTTGGCGCCATTTTTYTTAATTTGTGTTCAGATTTCCAACGCACACGCAACTATTTTAAGACCGCCATTTTTAACACTATTTCTACTATTTTTAACCATAGAAAAGCACTTTGAGTTCTTTTAATTATTACTGAGCCTTAATTGTTGAAAGCGTTTTGTCATATTTTCGCTTAAAAGAAGAAATTCTARTAATAAATCAAGATTTGATTCACGAACAAATTGAGCCATTTTGGTCTAGTTAGTCTTGTCAATTTGTAATCTAATGGCYAAGTTATTTGCCCTATAAAATCCACAATATTATGAAACCCTCCCTTTCTAAAACCAATTGTCTAATTACTAAATAACTGCTTACATTCTATATTATTTTTCGGCAAGAAATACATGTCTGATTAAAATTTGAATATCATTTGTTTAGATATCTTTATAAGCTTCAATTCAAAGTGCTACTATAGTGGACTATTGCTACACTCAATGGTGCGAAGTCTGATACTCGATGATTTCAAGTCGTTTATGATTCACAGTTCTAGGGCAAATACTATTTCAATCAGTGTCAAAACGAGGACTTTAAGTTTTAATCAACACTGTTTTTCTCCCTCACACTTTGCCTTCACAGTTCTAAAGCAAATACTGTTTTACTAAGTACTGTCAAAACGAGGACTAAAAGTTTAGTTTAATCAACACTATTTTCTCGCTCTCACACTTTGCGCGCGCAGAGGCGCGGGAACCATAAACTTTGTTAGCTTTAAAGCAATTACATTTGAAGAGAAAAACAATGTTTGYTTAGTTGCTCTTGGACTGTCAAGTTTTTCACAATAAAAGTTTGCAGTTCKGGCAGCTGAAAAGTTCACCATCCGGACGTTTCTGATTGGATTTTTTGGCATTTTTGAAATGTTCTGATCTTCTCTTTTCTTATGGACAGCTATTCAATCAGTGAATTTTCAGGAAATGTTGATTGATTTTTCTTGCTAATGGTTTTTACATATATAGATGCTTGCTTGCACTAAAATTCAGAAGTTAAAACTTTTTCCTGATTCGGCTTTTTTTCTGAGAATTTTGTGATATTTGAGAAAGCACTCCCATATTTTTTTTTCTCAAAGGAATATTGTTTGTCCATCATCACAGAACAATCCATAAATGAAAATGAAGAAAAAACATACAAATTACATCCTCAGAATTAGTTTAAGTTCAACGTGACAAATTACATCAGTTATTGTAGTACACCAAAAGAAAAAAAAATCATTTGGATTTAATTTATCTGAACAAATAATGAAACAAAGAAAATTTCCTTCGTTCACCACAGAAAAGACGCACGAAGCCACTTATTAAAAGAAATCATCTTCCCCTTCAAAAGATAATACGTCGGCTTCACRACACAAAATTCTTTCAGGCAATTGTGTATATATTCAACGCTGGGAGTTAATTTGATTTTGTTTTTAAATCTTTAATAGCGTCAGGCGTAAATTATCCCACAAGGTGTCTTTTCTAATGAGGCGCATCCGGTGAAGAAMACAAGACAAAAAATTCCCCAAATTTTTAGATTTCTTTTTGCAAAATTGCGCGATTTTCGGCTACTTTTCTAGCAGAATTATTATAATAATTTCCCACCAAGAATATTAATCTTCATGAACTTGCCATTATGAGAGGGAATTTGCTCTTTTGCTGTAAGAAGCCCTTTGGGTTKAGCAGTATCAGGCCGGATACCAATATACATTGAGTAGCTAGGAATTTTGTATGCAAGGAACAAAGGAATTTCCGCTAGAAGAATGTTGAAATCCTTCTTGAAATTTTGATAAATTGGAGCTTGGAAATTGAACCCAACCATGATAATTAAAAAGAAGCGTGAATAAAAATCATTACTAGTAGTAAATTAGAATTTGACAGAARAACAATTCTWAAAAATAACGTTGAAGCAAGAATGTGTTGTATGACGCGCACAGGTTGTATGCAACAGTTATACACAAGTTGTACAGCGTAAATCAATCTTTAGGTAGTTGTAGTGAGTTGTAGGCTTGATTTACATGACGCAATTCGTGTTTTATGTATGTCGCGCTCAGGTTGTATGCGAAGTTGTACAATGTAAATCAACCTTTAGGTAGTTGTAGTGAGTTGTAGGCTTGATTTACATGACGCAATTCGTGTTTTATGTATGTCGCGCTCAGGTTGTATGCGAAGTTGTACAATGTAAATCNTCATGAGTTTACATAAAGGTTTTCAGTTAAGAYCACATCGACTAAAACTATTTACACTGAAAAAGATTTAATCTAAACTGACATACAACTTGCACTCGTCAAAAAGAACAGAAATTTARGCGCKCAAGTCAGGCCTACATMAAGACTAATGGCTTCTGGCGATCTCAGTTTATCTTATCATTTATATTTTATTGAAAAAGGATGAGAGCCAAAACGCTTTTTATCAAACTGTGGGGTAGCCGAAGGGTGCATGCGACAAAAATAACAGATCTCGCAAATTCTAATTCAATTTGAAAAATTTATCAAAATCAACGTGTGTTTTTCTAGTCACGTTCCTTGAGACCACACGCTGTTCTGAGCACAGGCAGCCCAACCCTTCTAAGTATTTTGATTGGTCCAAAGATACGTTTTTGTAGTGTTTTTGMTTCCCTTGAGGACGGCCTTGGAGCAATATAAAAACACTAAAAAAGCATCAGTGTCGGCAGCCTAGACAAGGCCTAATATATTTAATTGAAGTAGTCACATTTAATAAGAATAATTTTCTGTAATATTTGAGTTYATAACAGTAATCCATGATTTCTAAAACGACGGTTTTTTCTAGAGCGTTTTTATGACTAAAACACTTTTGACTTAAACACTTTGCCTTGATTTGACGAGACATACAGAAAAATTTGCATAATTTCTTTTACGAAAAATGTTTCTTCGAAAGTTGTGCATCCGTCAATTGAAACCACGGTCCCCAGAGGCCAAAAAATGCGGGAAAACACATTTCCTTTGGCCCCGACGTAAATTTTTCCGCAACATTCGCGATGGTTGTTTTGTTAAAAAAGTGTCAAGTCTCCGGCTGTTTATGTGTAAAGTCACTCATCTATACCCACTCGTAAAATGACGTCATGAATCTATTGTCACGTGACGTTTTTTTCTTGTTTTCCAGGATAAACTAACCGAGGAGCAGATAAACGGTGAGGGACTGGGAACTACCATTTAACATCAATAGGCCTTTTCTGAGATAGCAGTTTCCATTTCATTGTGGTCTAGATTCACTACAAACATCTTTTGTTCATGCTGCCAAATATGGCGTTGTTTGTGCTGAAGCTAGACCACAATGCACCATGATTTGGTATTTAAGAAAATGTCTGTGATGTGTTTTCGTGTCGTTTCTTAGACCCTGTTTACATGAGATAGGCTGCCCCTAGTGGTAGGGCCAAAATCTTTTGTTTTAAATCCTCCAGGGAAAAGAAAACAAAAGAGTTATCCCTACCACGTACGGGCACACTATCTCATGCAAACAGGGTCTAAGCCTGATATATCCTTGCACAGTTTTTATTTTCATGTTATTTTAACGTTTATCACATATAAAAATGAGTTATACGAGACCGCTCTATAAACCAGAAAGGTCAATACAACTTCATAATCGATTAATCTCTTTAGTCGACATCTTCAGTATCAAAGTAACTAGGCAATGCTTGATTTCATTAAAATATCCATATCAAAACATCGCTCACTATTTACAAGTTGGTTCTAAATTCTTATTTATCTAACTACTAGAGATTCAAAATGTCTTGTCTTCTTACAGAGTATCAAGATGCGTTTAATTTCTTCGATAAGGACAAGAATGGCTATATTACTACCAGAGAGCTGGGCGCAATCATGAGATCTCTTGGTCAAAACCCGACGGAGACAGAGCTACAAGACATGGTGAACGAAGTTGATTACGACGGTGAGTACAGAAGATATAAGAARCTTARGGCCGTGTTTACAGAGCTATGGTCAAATATTTTAGAGTCAAGATAAACAGCAAACTGAACGTTGTTTACATTGTAATGAAATTGGGAAATTGTTATTGARCTATTCTTGAAWAACAATACCATATATAAGCAAACAATTTTGTTGTTGCACAACGTGAATGAGATTGAATGTTTGCGTAACGAAAACAAAGAGTAAAGAAAAAAATATATGAATGGATAAATTAATGAAAAAACAAACGAATACTTAAATCAATTATTTCTATTGCAGGTAACGGTGTAATTGACTTCCATGAGTTTGTTAACATGATGATAAACCAAAACAACAACACACTCGATGCAGACGAACTTATTGAAGCTTTTCGTACTTTCGATGGAGACGATAAAGGTTATATATTTTCAAGCGAAATCCGCTACGTCCTTCGGCACATGGGAGAAGAAATATCCGAACAAGTTATCAATGACATTYTACAGGACTCTACACACGGTAGAAAGAGGAAAATTACTTTTGNGAGTGGGAAACGGACGGTACTGTACTGTGACCGTAATCGTACTGTAACCAAATTCTAGTGCCCCATTGGTTCACCAAAATTGTGCAGGCCAGGTGTGGTAACTGTGTGGTAACCGTGCGGTAACGGTGTCCCACTCATACGAAATCCGCTCTATTGAATTACGTCATGGCCGCCATGTTGAATTACGGCATCACCGCCATGTTGGATTTAGAGTTCTTTTATCCAAAATGGCGGGCGATAGCTGTTCTTTTTTTTCTCATGGAACTCTTAGTCAAGTGGTTGTAGGTTAAGAGCAATGATATGCTAAAAATGCCTTTTCTTGAAGAAAGCAAGTTTATTTTTAACTTGCTAATAAATATCCTCGGGAACACAGCTTTTGTATAAACCACCTTAATTTGCAAGTAAAACTCTTTTCTTATGTTAGGTAGCTTTGAGCTGCGTATTCAACGAGCGCTTCTTAAAAATGTAAAATGATGTTCATCTTTAGTAAAAACAATTTTGCTGTTCTTTCAGAATTTGTCAAGATGGTGAAACCCGAACTTTAGGAATGGTCACTACTTTGCGATTTCAGAAAGCACAACAGCATTGGCCTCGATATCAAGCACGTCTCAAAGACAATGACCTCGTTTCAATGCACGTTTAAAAATGCAAGAAACCCTCAAGCTGATAATATAGTTCCGATTGTTGGTTTTTATTTGCGGTGGTGGGCTTTATTTCCGGACATCGTGGTAATTTACTTCCAAGCTGGATTTGGTAATGTTGCTTCCGGTGATTGGTTTTGCTTCCGGAACATCAATCGTGGCAATTTAATTCCGCTTTTCGGTTCGTTAATTATCTTCTGGTGTATGGTTTGGGTTTCCTGTCCTTTCAGATCACTTTTATAAATTATTTGAGGTTGTTTGTTGTCCGGAAAATAAAGTTCAACATTAACTTCCGTKATTTGGGGTTGACTTCTGGAAAATCACATTAACCAAYTCATTACACACATTTGAATCTTGAACGTGGCAAGATCACTTTTTCAGGTTGGTAGCTCAAATGATTTCAGCATCAATGAAATTTACTTCCGGCTGGAAGAGACAATTTGAAGGGACAACTTTCTTCCGGTTCGGAGAAATAATTTAAAGCCGGTCCGAAGAGACAATTTACTTCCGGTTTGAAGAGACAATTTACTTCCGGTTTGAAGAGACAATTTACTTCCGGTTTGAAGAGACAATTTACTTCCGGTTTGAAGAGACAATTTACTTCCGGTCCGAAGAGACAATTATCTTCAAATCCAAATATACGCAATTTACTCCCGGTTCAAAGAGACAATTTACTTCTGGTCCGAAGAGAAAATTTTCTTCAAGTCCAAATATATGCAAATTACTTCCGGTTCAAAGAGACAATTAACTTCCGGTTGGAAAAYAATTTACTTCCGGTCTGAAAGACAATTTACTTCCGGTTGTAGTTCTTTACTTCTGCATCAAGAAGACKGTTCCCTTTGGTTTGTGAAGCCATTTAATGAGCTTCCAGACATTAGTCCAAATTATTTTTGCATCRAGACAATTTCGGTTGGGAAGGAATGGTACATTTCCTGTTGGTAGTTTGGTATATTTTCGTATGATCACAGTTAACTTTAAAAGTTGTATTTATTTTTGCATGAACAGTAGAAATTAATTAATAGGCCAATCAGTTAGTTTATCAAAATTACTTGACTTTTACACTTACTTCAAGTTCCAAATACTCTTCTTCTTCAAGTTTCCTTCTTGATATTCTTCTAAATATTCTTATTCACTACTTATCATCTTTTCAGCTTCAGGATTCCTGTGGTTTTAAGGAAGAGAGGAAACTAAGAATGAAAGCTAGTCCCCAGTTCACTGGTTCAGTTTTCACAAGCAAAGCATTAAATGGAGACATGAATGTACACCATGATGMGCAAAACTCTGTCAAATGCCTCTGCATTTTAATATTCATGAAAGCTGAAGCAGTGCAAAAAAAGCATTAACATAGAATCCTAATGGCTGCAGGTTTTCAATCCAGCTGGATTCAAAAGATGAGACTGGCAGCAATAATGAAAACAGGTCACCATTGAAAAATAATTTGTTGAATTACTGCCAACATGGCTGCCATGACTTGAGAGGGCTGCTAGCACATGTTAAGGAGCTGGGACTGAGCATTCATTCTCAGATCTTCTCTTTTATCAGATAACACAGGAATCCCAACAGATGGTGTCAATAATACAATTTTGTGAAAAAGGATTTTATTCCTTACATAATATTTATGATTCACAGCAAGTTCTGATTAATATTCTGATTCAATTGACACTCACATGACAAATATTGTGATTTTCAAGTCATCAGATGCTTCATTTCACAGTTCATGGTTGTCAACATGCCTTTGCACAGGATACAGACAGCAAGATACTTTCTTTCATACCTGACAAATGAAATATTCATAGTATCTTAATTATTGCCTGTCATTGAAATAGAAAATTCATTATCCAAAAAGCTTATAATACTAGTGTAGTTAGCAATATTTTGCTACACAATCCAGGCAATGAACTGAAGATTATTGACAACAGACCTATGTTGAATCATATAAAACCAAGGTCTTACTTGCTGCCATATTTGGCTTCAAAACACTAATGCTTTTGATTCTAAGGCCAATCGCTTGTCATGACTTTTGTCTGGAGAGGTTGACTTAAACTTCWGACTTTTTCAATAGAAACCATAATGTTCCCATGGCAACAATGACCATGCTAGCTCCTGTAGCCATGGTAACTGTTACCATAGCATTATTTTCAATTAACAACTGCACTTCATCTCTGCTGCAACTTATCTATGTAATGATGGAACACTTTTTGAATAAACTTCTCTTACTTCAATTGTTTATTTAAAATGACAGGGCACACCATCATCTTAGATGTTAATGTATCTCCATTACAGCTCCCAGCATCATCTTGAAAAGTAGCTTTGCCACCACAATCACCACAATTGTCATTGCAAAGGCACAGCTACCTGTCAATGGAAACTTCTTAACCAGAAGATTGTGTTAGCTATCAAAGAGTTATTGCTAGCAACTACTGTTAGGATTGAAGGAAATGAAATCAAAAATGCACAAATTTCATAAATTTTAGTAATTTTTTATTTACAATGATTTCCAGTTACAATTATTGAATGTTAACAGAATGTTTTCAATGAGTTCACCAGGAGATATCCCCAAATCTTTGCACTAACTTGTCTTGAGCTGAAAGGTCTTTTTGAACTTTTGTTCTCATGTAGAAAATGGGACAATCTCGGCTGAAAAAGAGGCATAAATTAGTTAGAAGAGATAAATTGAGCCAGGTAGCACCGCTCGGAACGGGTCTCATGATAGGTTGAGAAAACAATGGACAAACAATAGATAAGTCTTCCAACAATATAACAAAACCTAACCTAACAATAGTGGTGCTGTAATTAAGGAGCAATCAAAAAGCAGGTTTCAATTGGTACTGCATTACTGGATAAATTGAATATTTACTATTAATAACTAGSCACAACCTTGTACAAAGAACATCTTGATGCAAGCTACCAGTGCAGTTCTGACATTGTGTCCAAAGTCTGGCAAAGCGTTCTTCAAGTGTCTTTAAGTGTCCTATTTCTTTCTGGAATATTTCAGATTCTCTTGGTTTACAATGCTTACATACAGCAGCAGCTAGATGAAAATTCACACAAATGAATGAATWGAACACATAAGAGTTAATTTAGGTATTGATATCAATGCTCTCTGGTGGACACGTTCACTCACCATCATCGTTCAGACTGCTCTTACATCCCAAACAAGTGCTTCTCTTCTTTGTAAACATGGATAGTTTTCCTACGGTTGATGTGACTATTGTCTTGGTACGAGTGTGTTCCCCCTCTACACAGATAAAAGCAGAATACATGATGATAGAATGACATTTTTACATGATTGGTATTGATTGCTTGTTCAAATAAATGATTGATTGATTGCTTGACTGATCAATTGATTGATTGATTGATTAGTTGATTGATTGATTAGTTGATTGATTGATTGATTAGTTGATTGATTGATTGACTAATTGATTTATTGATTGATTAGTTGATTGATTGATTGACTAATTGATTGATTGATTAGTTGATTGATTGATTGACTAACTGATTGATTGATTGATTGATTAGTTTATTGATTGATTGATTGACTAACTGATTGATTAATTGATTGATTGATTAGTTGATTGATTGATTGATTGATTAGTTGATTGATTGATTGATTGATTGATTAGTTGATTGATTGATTGACTACTCACTTAGTAATACTGATGAAGCTTTAGATTCACCAAGTATTGGTTCAAAAATTCTCAACAAAGGCTTTGACAGCTGATTTTCCAGATAATACTGGGTATCAATGGGGATGTTATTTTCAAGAACGTAGATAGGATCCTGTACAATAAAAATAACGAAATTTGACGATCACTGATAAACTTTTTTTTTTTTGATAAACATACTTATGAAACATTACAAAACATATCATATCTATTACCTCTGCTTTTTCATAAGCCTTGGCTCCTTTTGACCCAGCAATAATCACATAGGGTACCCTGTCACCCAGTTTAGGTGCCGATCCAGCATCTCTTTTGCGCATTCTAAGGGAAGCACAATAGTAATGCAATAAGTAAGAATTACTTAGATTACAAATAATAGTAAGTCTTTGTCTAACTAAAGTTTATCTTGTTGATGTTGATGTTGTTGTTGATGATGTTGTTGCTGATGCTGTTGTTGTTGATGATGATGATGTTGTTGTTGTTGTTGTTGATGATGATGTTGTTGTTGTTGATGATGATGTTGTTGTTGATGATGATGATGATGATGATGATGTTGTTGTTGTTGTTGATGTTGTTGTTGATGATGATGATGTTGTTTTTGTTGTTGTTGTTATTGTTGTTGCTACCTGGCAGCAAGTTCTGAGTGAGCCTGTTTGGCTGAATATTCATCTCCAGTCTTGGTCAATTCTTTGGTTATAACAAGCTGTGAAATATCAATACGGTTGCACAGCAAGTCGGAGATGATCTGCTTGGTGTAGTTGATGGCACCTTGTGGGTCCCTAGAAAAAATTATAGAACTTATTGTTTAAGGAGTTTCTTTGCATAAGTTAGTCACTGATGTTTGTCTTGGCCAGATTTTAATAATATGTCCTCTAAAACCCCTGACCTACATGTATAGCTCACATAGTGCTCCTTTGACTGAGCCAACCTGCGTGTAGTTAAATGAGCAAAATGAAATTTGAATGGAAAGTGGAAAATGAAGTAATGGGATTAACCTGCCAATCAACAGCTTCTTTAAGCATGAGCCAATCAAATTCGCAACCAGAGGACAGTTATCTCTTCGCACCTACAACCAAAAGAAAGAAGTGTAAAGTGAGACCACATGAAATGAAACCACATTCATACAGATATACATTCATGTAGAACTCATCAAAACTGCTTTTTGATTGCTCCCATAGTACTGCATTTCTTTGGTTAAAAGATTAGGTTTTAATTTTCTGTTTGAAGGACTAAGTTGCTTCTCAAGAAATCATGAGATTTTTCCCAAGAACTGCTACTGTACATGATACTGATTTACAGTCAAAACTGATTTTTGATTGTACTGACATCACTTATTTGGTTAGATTAGGTTTTATTTTTTTGTTTGGAAGACTAAGTTGTTTCTCAAGAAATCATGTCGAGATTTGTTCCAAGAACTGCTACATGACCMAACAACTTTATTCATGTATTTGAAACAAACCCTACACCATTATTTCTCATCTCATCTTCAAACTTACTGTCTCAATCCCCTTACAGTCCATTTTGTCGTGTTTATCAGGTCTTGTGAAGAACAACCCAGCATATCTCTTCTTATTGATCAGGAGATATGGAAAATATACCTACAATGAGAGTAAAATCAAATGACATAAATCATGGTTACAGAAGCTCATCTAGTATCGACTGCACTGAAAACATACAAAGCATACAATGTAGAAAAGATCATAGCAACAGGACAGTCACAGTCACATTTAACAACCACTTACAACTAATAATATTACACARAGTATAAAGTTATACCTTTTCAAACTCCAATTTGATTGGAGAAATAAAGTGACCTGAGACATACTGCGCAGCTTCATTCCCAAGTTCCATGCTCTCTGAAACAGTCTCTACACCAAATCGAACCATCACTGAATCGGTGTCTCCATAAATAACCTGTCAAACAGGATTGAAAAAACAACTTGTCAAACAGGTTTAAAACTTGTTCAAGCCAAAAAAATGCATTTGTGAATACACACTGTAAATAACTTGTTAAACAGGTTCAAAACTTKTTTATGACAGAACAAATAACCTGTCAAACAGGCTCAAAACATGCTTAAAGCTTTCTACCTTGGCATCATGCTTGTAACCATTAGAAATCTTGTACTTCTCTTCAACAAGCTCCTTGGTTCGCTCGATCATCATTCTACCAAATGCTGTTACACTCTTTAAATAAAATTGAACATTTCAGACAACAACCCTCTTTACATATAACAGCAAGGTTATTCAGAGAGAAAAACCCATAAAAAATACAAAGATTAAGAACTTTTATGTAATAATACCTGGGATATCTCCAAGCAAGGCAGCTTCCCAACTGTAGCTCCCGTGAATCCGTAGACTGAATTAGCACTGATTTTCAAAGCTAATTGACGGCCATCCAAGACCTGGAACARCAATCAAATTAATTGGATTCAATAATTTATATTAATAAAATCATTATCATCATTGTTGTTATAGTTTTAAAAACTAGCAACGATGTTTTTTGGCTCAATTGTTACCTTCTTTTTGAAAGGATCAGTCGCCTTCTTTAAGTCAGCTTTAGCTCTAAGAGAAAAACAAAAGAAGTTAAGACAAAGACATAAAGAAATAAGCACGTACAAAGACAAGTAAACAGGCAAGAAAGCTGCCTGAATCAAATAAGCAAGCAAGTCAGCAAACAARCAAGCAGCAAATTAAGAAGGCAGGCAAGGAGAGAAAGATTTARGTAAACAAACAAACAAACAACCAATGTATCAACATACTTTTTTCTAGCACCTAGAAGACTTTCAAGAATCTCAGGCAGAAGACCTTTTCGTACAGTTCTCTTGACAAAGTAGTTTCCAGATGGAGTTTTGATGAACTGGTCAGGAGGAGTACTGCACAAAATGCAASAAGGCATTGTATTAATATTAATTAYAATTACTCTGCCATAGATTTGAGTAAGCAAGAGGTACATRGTTTCCAGTTTCCTTTAATCTACATTACTTACTCCTTTACTTGTGAAGGATGGAGTAATGATGTATAGCACAAGTTATGCGCCATCATGATTGACGGGTATAGCGATGAGAAATCTAGTGTTGCTATGGGAACATTGTAATATCTGTCAAAACAAAACGTCAATCATTATGATCATCATCATCACTGCTATTATGATTGACACATGTCATCATCAAGCTGATGCATGCCTACCCTCTTTCAGGCTCAATTACTGTTGCTCCTTCATAAGTTTCTTCTCCACTTTCTGCTTTGTGAGCTGGGATTACGAGATCTTGTTCTTTGGTCTGAAAAKAATTGTAATGAATTTAGTTAATGCGGAACATGTATCTACTCAAGATATTATACTAGTATGTTAAACACAATATTATATAATTATCACATATTCACATGTGAGAGATCTTTCTACTGCTCAAATACATGTATGTATCATTGAGTGGTGAAATGAGCACAGATTTAAACGATATTACACTCCTCATCCATTTCAATGTATTATCCTAGATTTATTATGACCCTAACATTCAATTCCATACCTTTCGCAGTAATTGAGAGACAACTTTAATTTGYTGTCCACGTGACAAGAGATAGCTGAACGGCACGCCAGTGACACGGGCCATCTCCATGTAGTTAATGACACACATAAGTTTGTCTAGTAGTCGTAAWGGTAAGATGGCATCCTTCATGCAGTATATAGCAAGCCTTCGACGTGTTTGGTCATTACCATTCTGATATAATAATAAACAAGAATTAATGGAGAACAACATGAGAGAGTTTCCTCTGAGTAGTGCTCAGGGATAACTGTTTTGGTTTTATTTTCTTTCCCTTTAGGATAGAAAAGTGGAAAGGAAGGACGGAAACTGATACATGATTGAAAAAATGAATGGATGAATGGATGGATGGATGGATGGATGGATGGATGGATGGATGGATGGAAGTGCAAATGAAAGAATGAGAAAATGAAAAAATGACTGGATGAATAAATACATGGATGGAATTTGTGCAAAAATGAAAGATAACTAACTAAAAGATTATGAAAATGAATAAAAGGATAGATGGACAGATTGATGATTATTGAGAAGAAAAAAAAGAGATCAATAAATAAAGAAACCAAGCAAGGTCAAACCTGTAAATCAGATATAATGTTATGTTGAACATCTTCCTTCTGTTCTTGCAAAAAGTGGAAGCTCACAGCGTTCAATGTGTAAGACCGTAGTTTATATTCTCTCAGCAAGATATGCAGCAAATCAAACTGAATTCTACCAGAAATGTTAATAACTTTGTTTTCTCTTTTTCCATATGCTTTGGATTGAAAAGTTGTTGTGGAGACTGTACTTCGCTCTTCGACAATTCGACCAAGAATTGGAAATGAATGGACTTTCAGTGCATTAGCTCTATTTAAAAGGTACGGCATGTCGAAGTTGACTATGTTGTAGCCAGTGATAATGTCAGGATCAACTTGTTGGATGAATTCACTCCAAGACTGAAAGAGAAATTATGAAAAGAAAGGATGAGAAGAAATAGAAAAATGACAAATGGAAAGAATGTGCAAATCATGAATAGGAATTCAGGAATAAAGTTATTACTATAGTGACCATGCCATTGCTATAGCAACCTTGCAGTTTCTATGGCAATGTTAATATTGCTATGCTAGCAGACGAGGTTTCTACAACAACCATACAGTTGAAATAACAAATTTACAGTTATTATGGTCACCTTAGACAACTCAGAGAKTCTTWTTGGTTGCTATAGCCACCATGGAGTTGCTATGGAAAACTTTGTAGTTGCTATGGTAACATTACCTTGAGTAACTCTCCCTCATTATGAAATGACATGACATGTGATCCTACGATGGGAGAACATCCTCCAAGAGTAAAGATATTTCTGATAAAGGGGTCTTTTTCTCCTTGACGGACCACCATGTTGGCAATTTGAATGACAGGATCTTTCTCCGGCTCTGGAAAAACTCCTTTTCTACCWGCGCACTCAATGTCAAAACTGAGRATTCTWACTGGAGCAATCTTAGACCAGTCACCTTGGAGATGAAAGAGAATTAAATTCAATATAATATGCATAAATTATACACATTTACAATATGAGCATTAGTTTGCATCAAACATGAAGAATGTAAAACCAGAGTTCCATTTGATCAGCATAACATCATCACAGCTATGAGTTTTATTGTTTTTGCCTGATGAATTATTAATGAACTTGATAATTTTATAAATAATAATACTAATAATAATGATGATAGAGCAGAGTCACATGAACCATGAAATAAGAACTAAAAAGTACTAACTAATAGGCACTATTAGTTCCTAATAGTCATTAGCACTGAACCAGAACACTTTATTTGATCCAATAAGCAATACCCAAGGGACCACTATAACAATCAAAGTAATCTCTTTGTACTGTTCTGGTTCAGTGATAGTGTCTAAATAGTGTCTATTAGTAACTAAGTATTTAGTTTCTATTTCATGGTTCAAGTGACTCTGCTCTAATAATAACTAAATAATACCTTCAGGTACATGGCTAATGATTTCATCCCATGCTACATCAATTTCAAGCTGGCACCTTGACGTTGGTTTTGCATCACTCATGTTTGTTGACATGTGAGGTGTCCGCACTTTATATTTTCCCGCAGGAACCTCTATCCAGTTACAGCCTACGATATTAGAGTCTACCATGTATCGTACCTATAAAATGGGTTCAGTCAATGAAATTAGATGAGATATAATATTAAAGCATAAAAAATCTATTTGATCCAAGTCTTTTACATTAATTAGGCACACAATCACATAGTACACTTCAACAAAAATGAAATAAAAGCAAAGCTAATATTTTACCTCGAAGTCAATATTACTYTCATAKGTGGAGTAACCTCGTTCAGGAAAGGAACCAAATTTGAAGCCGCCTTCCAAGATTCTCTTACATGGCGCAATTAACTTGGGTAAGGCGACAGTAACRCGTAGAAATAGAATTTTAGTATTGCCATGGAAACCATAGATGCTCTCTTTCTTCTCACAGTCTACTGCAAGAATTGCCTGACAGAAAAAAATTAAATATTATCAATAATACTTACATCTTATCAAGTCTTGAATGTAAAAAGTGTGCAAGGGTAAGAATAGCACGAGTTGAGTACTTCTAAAAGTAATAGGTCATTTATGACGTAACTTTACTACAACTACCAGAGAGCCTTGCGCATTTTCATTGTTATTCAGATTTTTAATCCCCTTGGAGATTAATAAAACAATTGGCACTAATTGCATTACAAAAGAAAGTTGGTAAAGCATTCTGGTAGTTGTAGTAAATGATGCTATAATGCAAATCGGCTATTGGACATCGCATGTCTTTATGTGTCTAAAATGACTAAAATCATGATTTCATAGAATGCAATAGCCAAGAATTAGCTTATAACAAGTAGTTTTTAGTGATTTTAACTTACTTATTTTTATTTAGAGTATTTCCATTCAGATATCATTTAGTATTTTGGGCTTTTTTTTTAGTATTTTATTTTATAGATTAATATTTATAGTAATTATTCATATTCATGTAAAGCACTCTTGATCATTTTAATGTTATAATCGCTTTATTAAGTAAATAAATTATTATTATTATTAATTACCTGTGATATATTATCTTTATTGGATCTCATGTCAGTCAATACTGCCCTATTCAGAGYGTCCTGGAATACTCCGCATTGGCCTTCATTGAATCCTGTTGGCGCAGGAACGTAGAAGTACGGCACATACCCATGGATATGACACAGGATGCTGTTACCTTCCATGGTAACACCATACATCTGTAGGATAGGAACTGGTCCTACTTTAGAACCTGGCATTCCTGGCATATGGTTTCCTGGAAAATCATATGTAATGGTATTGATAATAACATTGTATTACAGTGAAAAATAATTTAAAATGGAATAATAATGATGATGAATGAATGGATGAATGCATACATGATATTTGGTTACTGGTTAGATTGATTTTAGTAAGTTATATTAATAATAACTTGTAGCACCTTGCATGCTTGCTTCATGCGCAAGTTTAATACTAACTTATAAGGTTAAAGCTCACCGATGTAATTGTCAACATCTAGTTGCTGAAATTCTATAGAATCCTTATCAGGATTTATATCAGGTAAAGGMGGTCTTTTCCATTTAGCTTTAGGATCGTGAACTCTCGAGGAAACAGTATCTGAGCTCTGCAGAGAAGCAAGTTCGCTTTCAAATCGACTTGGTTGAACGCCTTTGAAATCGTCAKCATTTTTTGGTCTTTTCGAAGAGCTGCTCTCACCAAAATCGCCCTTCCTTTTCWGKTTAMMCTCCATAATGTGCAGTTGAGGTTATTAGGAGTCGAAAGTTGTTAATATGAGAAATTTGGARGGAATTTAGAGTGGAAATTCAAATTCTCTTCGACATCGAAAATGGCGGGAAATTTTGGACTGATTAAAATTCATTTGGGAAACCGCTGATATATTTGACACAGGGAACCCGGGATTTATGTAAASAGGMCATGGAAATTTCGAATAAAAATCATAAAGATGTGATCCTATGAATCCAAGGATGGTTGATTTCTTTCTTCTCATTCCCCTCTTTTTTCTGTTAGTTTATTTTCTTCTTTGATTGACCTCATTTTCTTCTAGGTAATTTATTGATCTTTTTCTGTAAAGTATGTCCAATATACAATGCTAGTACTCTTAAATGATATTCAAATTCACATTGAGTTTTACATCCATTTACAAACAGAATTGCATTTTTCACTTGCAAATACAGAATCGTAAAGTTTCTCATCTGTAAAGTAGTAGTTTAGTTCTTGATTTTATTTCCTTTTTCTCCCGTCCTTTTTCCCTCCTTTTCCCTTCTGTGCTTTCTTCTTCAGATTTTTCCTATAGATGTACCCTTTCCACAACGCCGCTATCTTAGTCACAGCCAAGCTTTGCCGTCTTARTTCTTCCTCCTTCCTTTGCGCAGCTTCTAACGCCAGCTTTCTTTCCTCCACTATGGCGTCGTATTGTTCCTCGATCGTTTTGAATCGATTCTCGAGTTCAGACAAGTCTTCCTTTTCCCCTTCATATTGTTTGTTGATKCGGTCGTACTCGTCCTAAACATAAACCCCAAGTTATCGACCGGTCGTTATGGATGGTGGTTAAAGCAATATCTTACGTTTTTAGGGATGAAGCTTAATAGCGAATAGTACAAGCTGAATATTCTCCTTCACGTGGTTCCCTGCGCCATCCTGTAACCGTGCCTTGAAATCGAAACGAAACAACCGTTGAGCTTGCAATGATAGAAACCTGTGAATAATAATTGTCTGTAGGTGTTGATTGCACGCTCAACGGTTGTCTCGCTTCGATGTAAAGGCACGGCTACCTTTCAAGATGGCGCAGGGAACCGTGAAGAAGACTATTATTAATAATAATATGATAATATTTAAAAGGAACAATTAATGTTATTAACATACCTGTCTACCTCCCATRTCGGCGTCATACTTCTGGACCCAGTTGAACACTTCAGTGCCAATTTTGAACGTTCTCTGCAGGACAATACAGAATAATTCAAGGTCAGCTCCAATTTTCTTTCCCTCCCCCAACGTCCATCCTTCCTGGCCAAACACCATCTCATTTCCAGCAATACAGACAGCTAATGTACCATACCTTTCTCATAGATGTTTCCGCCTCGCGATGCTCTCGGCTGTGGTCCCGAAGCTCCTTTTTAATCGATAACATTTCGTCTCTTATTCGTGTCTTCTTCGTCTTGGAGCTCTTAGCATCAAAGCTGCATTGTTTGATAGCATCCGAGAGCATCTTTTGATGATTGTCACGAGTTATTTTATCTAACATTGATARCTCGTTCTTTAATTGCGTTATTACGCTATTTCGCTCTGAAATCTACAATAAGAAACAAGAAAAAGCTTTCAGTAAATATCACGTATTGACATGGGTTGAAACTATACGCAAACCTTCCTTAGAGCTTACGTATAAGCTTACGTTGCGTCTACGTRTACGTAAGTGAYTTAGCCATTACCTCTGCTTCCTTTTCTTTGACWGCGTCTATGTATTTCGCTTCGAGCTTTTCTTTGGTTGCGTTAGTCTTGCGTTCTCGCATGAAGATGTCTATGATCATTTTCTTACGTCTGAGTTCCTCAGACGGAAACGTAAGGAGACGCTCCTTCATTATTGTCATAAGCTGCTCCATGTAATCTAGGAAGGTGCGGTACGCAGGTGCGCACGGCAATTTCAACGCTATGGAGAAGCAAACGYTTGATTTTAGTCGATTTTCACYACAGCACAGTAAACGTACAGTCTACGTACAGACTCTACAGAGTACAGACTACACGGTCGGGATTAAATTTGTATGCAATCAYGGAGAGTAAAAAGTAGGATACAATACAACGTAAGCTATTGGTAACTACGTACGGAAACGTTTTTCAGCTGCTGGCACAGTTTTTCCAACCGCCGTTCCACTAGCGTTAACTATATCTTTTTCGAAAAAAAACCCGCAAGCACTTACGTACCTAAAATATTTTCAACTGCTTTAGGGTTCTTTTTAAAGTATCTCAAGAGATCTAGCAAAGAATACTTCAAACCCTGTTCGCTAATCGCAGTGTCTTTCTTCATCATTTGCCAATATTCGTTAACATCGTCCTCTTCGCTACTGATGTCACGTGGTACAAACACTTCCTGTCCGTCACCTTGGATACCCTTATCAATCAAAGATCGTCTTTCTGCGCATGCGATTCGCAAGTCTTCTTTCTGCAGTCGGCCCACAAGTACCTATTTGAAAAGTTCGTATATATAGCCCTTGTTAACTGAAAATTATCGAAAATGTTTTCCAAAAATTAGACCTTGTTAACTGTATGGTCGCCACCTTTTTCTAGTGTTTTAAGTAAAAAAAAATTGCTGCGGCACTATATTAGAGTGAAATTTAATTTATTCATTGTGAAAGATACCAAAAAACATCTCAAAGATGTTTGCGTCTTTGTGGCCATATAAGCTGTTCCACAATGAGCAATAATTTTGGATTTTAGGAAAGGTGATAAGCGTCTGKTGMAATATGCTGTCTGTTTTRACAACTGTGATGAAAATGGCTSTACGYATCACGTGACCTCACCTGATATTGACGCTGTCTGACGTCATGGTTTTCCATCAAATCCACCAACTCCGTACCAAGCATGATTTTGAACCTCGGCAGTTGTTGTAAAACTTGCTGAAGGGCCATAACTAGTTCCAGTCGATGTATGGTATCCTCTAAGACTGCAATAAGCCTTTGAGCYTCTAAWGTCTGWATCGTTTTYCGTGTTGGTTCAAGGATTTTACAAGCGTCACCCAAAGCACTTTTTGGTAGGGAGGGGTGGGGAGAGTATGCTCCCAATCCTCTGGTAGGACTGTCTGGATTGAAATTCATATCGAATTTCTCTTTTCTCGGAAAGTRTTTCAACTTAGCATTCAAYTTTTCAATTTATACGTCATTTAATTAATGTGGCGACATAATGCACTTAATGACGTCACAAGTTCTGTGCCAGWGCGCGCGCAATTCAAKCGATTTAACTCCAAATATGKACATTCATGGTACACGAATATGAGGTTGTGAACGAAGCTTGTAAGGACCAGCAGTGCGATAAAGCTCTTTTTAATTTTTTGTCGCTTTTCCCTCACATTTTAGTTACACACAGAAATTTAGACACTAATATGATTTGAAATTWTACTTTATTCTAGTTTTGTTTCTAATTGTACTTAGTATAAGCTTTTCTACATAATATTTTCTTATATCAACCGGCCAAATACGTATAAAACTCAGCCTGAAGCTAATTACAGTATATTCTTATACAGTTAAAATTGATTCGAGTCATTTTTAATTACATTTGGATTAATAATAGTGTCWTGAATTAAGAAAATATTTTTTTACAAGTTATTTTACGCTTGTATTAAAAATTTAAAGGACTTAATGCCTAAATTTTGTACAAGAAATATTTGACAAGATAAGTACAAGATGGCGTCCGGACGAATGCAAGATGGCGCCACCATATATTCAAGATGGCGGCGACACCAATGTATTCTTAAGTTCGACATCAATGATATATGCGATATGGAGAGTATCAAAAGTCGAGATATTTCAATTAAAAACTTAAATTCAATCATGTAATTCGACTAAATCTAAAAATTTATAACCTCAGCTTGATCATGGATTAAAATTGTATTTAAATAGTAACACAAACATATAAAATCATTCTTTAGAGTGGATGTAAGTTAAAAATCCTTCAATTGGTACAAAATGCTATTTAATATAACCTGTACTAGCTTTCATACGAACGAAGTTCTATGTATGCTATGAATATGTATAAAAATCAATTAAAATTTGTATTAGAGTGCTCGCACTAAATGGGTGAAACATAAATACTACAAAATAGGTGATAAATTATACAAATTCCTTTGTTTCTTATTGTATAATCAACACTATTTAGTAGTAATTAGTACTATTTGTTTCACGCTTTAAGTGCGAGCACTCTATAAAGTGAAAACGCTAGAACCATAGAAAGTAGTTATGAAATAGTGCTAAATTGCATTAAAATATACAAATTCCTGTTCTAGACTATATTACGCCATTTAGCACCATTTAGTTAAAGTGAAGTCAAAAAACTGTGAAACAGATTTTGTTTCACGGGTCTAATGATCTCACTCTAGAACATTTTCACGAGTGTTTACACGCCATTAATATGCCCAGTCTAAAATATCTTTTAAATACAAACACTATTGACCAATCAAAACTCAATAAATAAACACACACTCTGATTGGTCGTCTTGCTACATACTCTGATAATATAACGAGCTTTATGATTGGTCAGGTGCTTAGTAATTTCTTATAAACTAAAATACTTAATATTGAGACTATATCTCAGTTATGGGCGTCCGCCTGGGACCTGATAATCTTAAGAGCTCGTCCTTGATTGACCKTATGAGAGGCTGGGCCGAGCTTCCTAGAGGAACACCACGATGACCAACTGGATTGCTGGCGCTCATATCAATTGACGTATCACGTGACGTGAAGTCAGGGTTAAATGTGTCTTTAGGAGGCGAAGTATCAAAGGCACCTGGGAAGCTTGCCTAAAATAGAAAAGATGACCAAATAAGGAAATATTGCAAATTGGGAAAAGGTAACCAAACTAGGAATTGATGTCAAAATTAGAAAATAGCCAAATACGTCATGGAAAATGTGATGTGATACCTTGGCCAGATCGGGATAGATTTCCTCCATGGTGTCTTCTGCGGCATAAGGACTCCACAGGGGGGCACCCTAGAAGGGACAACGATACTCATTGATACACTAGAAAGATGAAACAATAGAAAGACAAAAACAAGAAAGACCAAGAGAAAAAGAGAGGGTGAAAGGAAGGAAAGAAAGAAAGAAAGAAAGAAAGAAAGAAAGAAAGAAAGAAGGGAGAGGAGGAAGGACTATTAAAATTAGTTTTTATTGCAAACCTTTATGAAAAGAAACAGTTAAAGGTCAAAGAAAGAATGGAATAGAAATAAAAAAAGCTGTTGAGAAAAAGGAAAAAGGAGAGGATTTTTTTTCTTTTCTTACCATGTAATCTCTCTGCTGYTGTACCGGTGTAATATACACATTTTGACCGTTGGGGTCTCGGTACGAGTATGTTGGTTGGTATCCCAATCGTGGATCCATATATCTAAAACAAAAGTCACGTGAGCAAACCCTCCAATCACATCCTGCTATTAGACCGGAAATTACGTCATAATCATAACATACCTTTGTCTATCATACGGGTCCCAGACCACTACAGGATCGCTCGTAACGAGCGGTGGTCGCACAGGTGGCCTTACTGGGTAACCAGGCCCTATAGGTGTTTGCGGWAGGCCATGGGGAAAGCCAGTAGTGTTCAACAGTCTTCTTTTCTGCCGTGGTGTAGGCTCGGTCGCTCGTCCATGGGCTGGAGCTGGTTCAGGTAACGCTGGTCGACTCCCAGCATACCTTGGAGGCGCAGGAGGCCGAGTGAGTGGCATGGGCTGAGTAGGTGTTCTTTGGAGTTGTTGTTGCTTAGATAGTGGACCTAGCAACGAGAAGGCGTCGTCAAGGAGATTGTGCATGCGCCTTCGTGTCTCATCCATGCTGATGGTTGAATCGTCACTGGACTCTCCYGAGTCTTCCTCGTCCTTTTCCTAGTAGATGAGAAAAAAAAATTAATATCGAACACAAAGTCCACCATTCATCTGAATTTCTCCAAAAATTAACAACTAATTTGAGAATAATCTAAATTCTACATTCAACTTATTGTCTTAACTTGTTGCAGGGTTTGTGCCACATTTTCATTCCTAAAGGAGTTTTCCAGGAATTTTAGCGATTATTCCCATTTTGAAGGGCTTTTCAAGCGCCCTTGAAAACAGGTTTTCAATTCCAAGACTTTTCAAGGACTAGCACGAACCTTGTTGTTAACTCTATTGCGCTGTTTACTGTGTTTACTTTGTCGACAAGAAAATCAAAACCTTTATTACCTGATTCTCTGTTTCGTCAAGGTCGTCGTTTCGTCTGTAGCTTTTCAGTTCAATGCCTTCTTCATCTTCAGGAAGGTTCCCTTTTCTTCCTCGTTTTTTCTTCCTTCCACCTTTACCGAATAGATTTGGAGGTTGTGGATCCAAGACTTGGTCTACACGGTTCCTTTGCCATGCTCTCCTATCTTCTGCTTGTGCTGGTGCAATCTTGTTTTTTCTTTCTCGTTGTCTCTTTTTATTACGTAGTCTTTCCATGTCGGCCTGGTGTGAAAAGATAAACACCGTTAGACTGATATTCTCTACAAAATGTTGAACGAAGTTTTTTCGCTTTTCATTACCTTCTGTTTGAGTTCTTGTTGGGCAGCTTTGCTTCGTCGTTTCGATTTACGTGGAGTTTCGTCTTCTGTTTCGTCTTGATACTAAGGRACAATAGAAACAAAATCATGAATACAAAGACGAAAGGACAGAAATCATGGAGGAAGAAAGGAACTTGAGGAGGAAGCATCCTACCTGTGCCACAAGCGGTTTACTCTGCAAAGGCGGAAGTGACGACGAAGGATGAACAGAAGAACGAAAGCGGACAGGAGCGTTAGGAGTCTGTCTGCTGGACCCTGCCATGACTGCCACCGTGGGCACTTGTGCGGCTGAAGTCTTGGTTTGATCGGTGCGCGTTGTTGATGCGATGCTTTCSGATTCTGACTCCGTTTCCGATAAACCTTCGTCGCTTTCTTCCTCGATGGCTGGTCGTCTTTTCGGAGGCTKCTTCACAGSAACGCTGACAGCCAACTTCTCTTTCATGCCAGGCCCAGGCTGTGCTTTGATGATGCGCTCGCGACTTCCGGTCTTGCTGACRTCGGTCAAACTTTGGTCGTCGTCTTCTTCACTCTCTTCGTAAGCGGGRTTYGTTTTGCTTCAAAAGTACGGAAAGTTTACGATAAGTTACGATGACTGAACGAATGGTTTACGAATATTTCTCCGACAAAAGACAGCGTTATAAACAAATGTACAAAACAATCTTCGAACTGGAGTTCAAATCGATAATTCATCGTCAATCTGAGGTACAAATCGATAATCAGTCGTAAAGTTTACCTTGTCGTTCGTTTATACGGAGTCTTAGAGACTTTTCGTCGTAAAGATGTCTCACGTCTCGGAAGTTGTTCGTAACTGACGTCTAAGCTCTCTGACATCGTTTTGATTTTCGGCGGTGGAGGTTTTCCTTCGACATATCGCGGCGTTTCATACGACTTTGGTGGTTCCTAGAAAAATAGTTTTGCCATTAGTATAATATAATTCATAGCATCAGCTGAATCTCCAAATTTGTCGATACGACTGMTATTCAACTCACGACAAAAGTCGTACACAACTGGACATCGACAAWATTCTTGCGACAAAAGTCGTATCAACTTTACGACAGTAAACTTGCGATAAAAATCGCATACGACTTGTCTACGATAAATCGCACTCACCATATGTTTGTGTACAATCTCAGGTTTGTGTGGGGTCGGTTGTAYTTTGGTCGGTGCACCACTTCTCCATCGCCAATAGATTAATAAAACAATAATAATCAATAGACAGATCGGACCCAGTACAGCTCCTATTATCCAGTAMGGGATWACTACYGGTGCWRCTGTTACTGGGGGTGAATCTGTWGCCACAGGAACAGCGACAGGGSTTGGTGGTTGAGTGACCTATATCATGAAAAMTTGGTCGTCAATCTAATGTCAATGTCCTTCGCAAATTATTTCAGTATAAGAATGGAAGGACGAAAAGAACTAGGCAAGAATGGAAGAACTGGATGAGAAAAGGGAAGAAAAGAAAAAGAAAGGGAAGAACAATCAAAGAATGAGAAAGGAGTGCCTTCGTATATTATTTGAGTAAAAGAATGAAAGGACGAAAAGAACTAAAGCAAGAATGGAAGAACTGGATGAGAAAACGGATGGAAAGAGAAAGAAATGGAAGGACGATCAAAGAATATGGAAGGAGGGCTGRAATGAGGGAAGGGAGGGAAGGAAGTAAGGAGAATGGGAGTGAAGAAGGGAAAGAAAGGTAAAAGGGCGTAGAAAGAGAACCTACCGCAAGRGGAGTGGTAATGAGCGTCATCTCATTTSTATTCAACTTRTTCATAGTTGATGTCGAGTACGATGARTTAACGACCTTCCCAGAATCCACTACGTAAAACTTCACGTCAGAATATTTATTGGAGCCCCCAACGGCTGTTACRTTAACAATCTGAAAAAATACAGGACTGTGTCACGAAATCATCTCTTAAATTCCGTCACGCTTCTAACACGTTATTATCGGCCGTSTTGTATGACATGAAATATGAAAACATTGAAAACGTGACAAATGATAGCGTTACTCAACCAACAGTATGACCATATATGGCAGCTGTGTTTTCTGGTAGGAGAACTGAAATACATGACAAACCATTGAGTTACAATCAATTGCGTTACACGAACCTTTGCAYTCACACTACCAACAGCTCTTTTCTTTCTTCTTTTCGCACTCTTCGACTTCCCAGTAACATAAATCATGGCTAGTTTGTCTTCAAAGTCGCTCTTCGTCTTTTCATCCTCAAGATTCGTCCCTACTGGAATGGACATGCGTATTATCGCATAATCAGATGTAGTGGCCTTCACTGATTCTTCGATGTAAGGACCCACGACAACCTGTGGAAAGACGATATCGTAAGAATGTGGTCTAGACGCGCTCGTAACTTTTCTTTCAATCGTAAATGCTGTCGTACCGGCTCTTTGAGAACAGCTGTCAATTCCACAACATGAGGAACTTCAAACACTTTTACAACAGTCACTGCAAGGACCTGCTTCCCKCCTTCTGTCATGTAAAACTTGACAAAAATGTTTCCTGACTTCTCGGTAGAAACATGGAAGATCTGTGGAAACCAACGCAAAGGAAATATGAGCATTTGTAGGCAATTGAAATATTCATTTCTTTGTTTTTTTTAATTGTTCAACAACCTATTTACTCTTCCATTTCAGACTCGTACCCAGTCGTTACGCTTTATTTTTCGATACGCTCGAAGAGGTTGATGGGAAGGAGAGAAAAACCCTTCATGCATTGCGCGAGAGAGAAGCAATTGGGTACGAGTCTGCTTCCATTTATTCATAAGATCATTCATTCATTCATTCGTTCAATACAGTCTAAATTTACCGTCGTGGTAACTGCAGCTGTCGTCTTTGTCTTTGTTTTATAATACGATGCCATGCTATCCTCTAGTRTTTCCCGATATGCAGGGATGGTAAGGTTTCTCGATGTCTTGGCCAATATCATATACACTGTGACATTTTTAGTGGGAGGGGTGGGTCGAATAAAAGGAATGGGTCTCGCTACAACCTTGAAAAGAGAAAAAGTAGCATTTATTAACGTAAACGAAAAWGTTATCTATTTTATTTATGTCAGTCTCGTCGGGACTTCACATCCAAACTATTTGTTGAATATTTTCCATGAAATTATAAGCAKCATAAACACTACTGAATAGTAACGTTTAGCTTCTTTAAAATATATATAAATGACTGATAAAACTTATATAATATTGATTAATTAATAAAATCAATAAATCATTGATAAAATTGATAAACCATTATAGGTTATAGAAATTAATGAAATTATCAGAATAAATTTTCAGATCTATTTCATACCGGTATTCCAATGAGTKTGGTTAGCTCTTCCAAGGTATTGATTCTATCGTAAACCTGTACYGCACCAGCAGCAGACACAGTTTGGTTATTTCTGAGTATAGAATAAAGAACTATGCCAACAGTTGATGGAGAAGCCTTTCTTGTTATGTTGTAAATCTGAAAAACAAAATCCCTGTAAGTTATACAATAGTTTTTATATTGCAGACTATCATGTGACCTTTTGATTTATGAATGCATTACCAAAAATACTTTCTTCTTCAAAAAACATTAACTGCTACATGATAAAAACGACCGTTTACTGAAAAAGCTCACATGAGTAACATATCAATGGATATTCCTGACATTAAGTGTCTTCATGATGGCTTCGTGTAATGCGGTGGGTACCATTACTAGTTACACAGATATTCCCGACATTAAGTGTCTTCATATAATGGCTTCGTGTAATGCTGTGGTACCTTTACAAGTCACACAGATCACCTAATGCTTACCTTGGCCTCTGTACCCAATGTTGCTCGTCGTCTTCTTCTAGCGATATTCCCTGCTCTATTATAAGCTTTTTCGAGTCCTTTCGACACAGTATTACGTAGGCCTTCCGAGTTAACGTTRTCGCTTGTCGAGAACGCAAGTTGTACCTCCAACAATACGTTTGCTAGCGGCACCGTTGTAGGCGGTACAGTTGTCATAGCAACACTACTCGTTACTATAGCAACAGATGACGTAGCACTTGGAGAAATGACGACACTTGATGGACGTACAGTTGAAGATGATGTAATTGATGACTTTACAACAGATGGTTTCGCACTTGATGATGACATCACTGCCGACGATGGCATCACTGCCGACGATGACATCACTGCCGACGATGACATCATTGCCGACGATGACATCACTGCCGACGATGACATCATTGCTGATGATGTAACGTTTGGCGAAGGAACTACTTTTGTGCTACTTGAATTGATGGAGCGTGTTGCCATCTGAGAAGACGTCTCCATGGAGACTTTGACAGACGTTGTTATAACGACCATAGTGGAATTCTTGGCGACTGTTGACGTAGGTAGCGATGATGTGTATTGCGTTGAGTTCAAGGATAAAGTTCTTTCAAGTTTGACTGAAGATGAATTCAAAGCTACAGTAACACTGGGTTCAGCCGCAACGGAAGTACTGTTCGCCTTCACAAGYAAAGAACTTGTTGGATAAACAGTTGCACTCAACGATGTGTAGTTCATAGTTAAGGAAGTCTGTACAACAACATTCGTTGATGATGAGTTTAATCTCTCAGTCACTGTAGCTGATGGCGCCACACTGGCAGCCGTCGAGTTAACCGAGCTATATAGTGAACTAGAAACTGATGACGTCATGTTGAAGACTTCCGACGGCGAGGGACTGGGACTARGTACTTTACGTGTTGAGTACACTACATAACACATGCCGAGACTTGAGGTTGTGATTAACACATTCATCCTAGATGAGGATGCAGACTGAACAATACTTGTTACATCACTTGAAGAATTGATGACCGATGAAGACTGGGGATGAGTAGTGTTGATGGCCGGTGTGGGTTGGGTACTAGTGCTGTTGCTGACAATGGTAGACTGGGCATTACTGGTTGCTGTAGTGACCTTGGAAGGTGTCAATGACATCACTAAAGATTTGGTAGCAACGGGGCTTGCAGTGATGGGTAAGAAAGTGCTGWAAATGCTTGCTGTAACAGGAGTGTGATCAGCCATYGASGACGATGACATTCCAAGGTTTATGGACGACGTATGAGAATCATTAWGCATGCTGYCAAGCGAAGATGACGTYGKCATAACAACAGTGACAGACRGAGACGCCGTACTTGATTGGATATGAGGAGTGGACTCGTTACCACCRGCAACAGTCAAGCTTGGAACAACCTCGTGAGAACTACTGTTGCCTATAGAAACGGATGACGTCATCGCCTTTGTTGCCATAGGACCAGTCGTCGAGTTTCCTACAGGAACAACTGTAGAATTTACTGACGATAATGGCGTTGGTGTTACTATGGAAACATTCGAGGAACTTGACATGGTTACGTGTTGAGTAGCTGAAGTTTGGGAGGCCATGATGGTTCCATTTGCTGAAGATTGAGAAGCACTGTTCTGYGCAACTGCAGACGTCATTGGAGTTGTAACATTTTGACTCATAGATGTGCTAGCTATTGCAGATAAGCTCAAACTTGGCATAGAAGATGAAGAGCCATTTTTGCKTAACCCCACTGAACTTGTAGAAATACCAATTGCAGAATTACTTGGTGATGGTGCTATTCTAGACGAAGTTGTAGCATTGTCTTGTACAGTTGGAAACACCACATTTGTAGTTCTATTACTAGAGTGATTTAAAAACACACTTGAGCTTAATGGACTTGGCGCCAAAGTGGATGATAAATGACTCTGACTTGAACCAGAAGTAAGGCTAGAAGATGCATTAGATGATGACTGGATATTGACGGATGAAGCATTACTGCTACTTCCATCACCAACTGCGCGTCTTCTTCTTCTCTTTCCAGTCGGAACAGAAGATGACAAACTTGACATTGAAGGAGAAGAAGCATTAGATGCCAGACTAGTTGATGGAGCACTTGACTGAGTCATATTCACTGAAGAGCTTGACAATGAAGGAGTTTCAACCACTGAAGAATGGGAAGCAAGAGAGTCAGTTCCACTTGGCAGGACCTGGGAGGATGTGGTCTGATTTGAAGACTGTGAACTTTCCATATTGATGGTACTTGAATGAGATGCTTCAACAGAGGTTCCAGAAGGATGTACTGAAGGTGTAACTGATGCATTTGAAGACAGTGAAGCAGCCATGAAGGTTGACAAAGAGGAAAAACTGGAGGACACTGAATGTGTTGATTCATTAATTGATTTTGCAGCAGCGACAGAAGCTAAGGAAGATGTTCCAGAAGGATGTACTGAAGGTGTAACTGATGCATTTGAAGACAGTGAAGCAGCCATGGAGCTTGACAAAGAGGAATAACTGGAGGACATTGAATGTGATGATTCATTAATTGATTGTGAAGCAGCGACAGAAGCTGAGGAAGATGCTAGTTTAACAGAACTGCTAGCCACAGAAACAGCAGACTTTGATGACCCTACTGATGACGTTTGTACAATAGAAACAGTTGAGACATTATGAGAAGCCATGCTACTATTTGAGACTTGTGCGGTAGAATTGACATCTAAAACTACAGTTGATGGAGAAATAGATTGACCAGCAGAAGTTGTCATGTTGGCACCAGAATAACTGTCATTGGTTTTGACAGATGTCGACAAGGACATTATTACAGTTGATGGAGAAATAGATTGACCAGCAGAAGTTGTCACGTTGCCACCAGAATAACTGTTATTGGGTTTGACAGATATCGACAAGGACATTATTACAGTAGATGGAGACACAAGAGCTTCACTTGATGAATTTCCTGGAAATGATGATGATGGTGCCTTAACACGTGCAGATGAACTGGAAGCTATTGTTGTAATAATTCCAGGAAAGGCTGATGATGTTGAAAATCTACTTTCATTGAGTGAAGGAGTAYGAACWACRACTGTTGCTAAGGAYACTGAAGAGGATGTTTCCATGGGAACCAATGAACTGCTATTTGCTTTCATTACTGTTACCGACTCACTACTTTKGGTTATTGATGAACTCACATGTTKTGATGCTTCCAYGGTGACAGATGTTTCTATGGAGACAGAACTTTCCTTGGCAACTGACCTACTCATACTAGGAGTCGATGGCATAGCTACTGTAGTCTCATTGAGAGTTTGTGTTATGACATATGTAATGTAACATGGATACATTGAGGAAACTAGCACAATGTCATCAGTCTTACTGCTGCTATGGTAACTTGACATCATAGATGTTTGMTTGACAAGTGGTGTCAGCGATGGTTTGATCACAAGACTAGCAGAACCATGAGTAACTGTTGAAGTCATATTTGAGCTCTTTGATGGTGCAATACTTGTTRTCATGGAAATAGGTGTACTGGGACTTGTTGCCATAGCAACAGACTTTGTTGSCATGTCAACTGAACTAGTATTTTGTCCAATAKGCTTGCTGAYTTCAGTCAYGGAAGGTGTCATTACAGAATGCGATGGGGTGAAGTTTGTTGTCATAGTAGGCATAACACCAAGGGTATTCGTGGTATTGCCGACAGGAACAATAGTTGATGACGCCACTGATGGATACACTTTAGTAGATGAATTACCCATTAATGTAGAAGAGCTTGTCATCACCATGGAAACACTGGGATTGACCAATGATGAGCTTGAATGGTTTGTTGATAGTGAAGAAGCTGTGGCCAAGTTTGACAAATTCATTTTCTTGACTGATGTGCTCGGCAATACTAGTGGTATACTTGTTGAAGAGCTGTAATTAACATTGATTGTTGCGGAGGACAATATAGAGGAAGTTGATGGCTTAATTTCTATACTGCTTGAAGACATAGTAATAGTAGAGCTTTGCATCACTAGAGGTATACTTGTTGAAGAGCTGTAATTAACATTGATTGTTGCGAAGGACAATATAGAGGAAGTTGATGGCTTAATTTCTATACTGCTTGAAGACATTGTAATAGTAGAGCTATTTGTATCTCCTGGAACAGAGTGTGACACAGAAGAATTCATTGTTGCAGTAGGAGCTGCAACAACACTGCTGTTTACGGAACGTGAACTTGATGGTTCTACTACTAATGTACTTTTGCTATTAGTAACACTAAGAGTTGCTGTTGAGGACAAGTTTGYTCCTTGAGCAATTGTTGCACTTATAGGTTGACTAGAAGAGCTATTAAGGACATTACTATGTGAAACAGTTTGTGCAGCACTAACGCTAGTGCTTTTATTCATCATACTTGAACTAACATTACTTGAAACACTAGTGAAAGTTGCTTGACTTGCCATCGTTGTTACAGATAATGACTGTGAACTACTGGCATTGCCTGAAATGATAACAGAAAAGCAATGTGTTGATTATACTGTAAGGACCARTTCACTCAAAGACATAACAAGAGGCATAGCCTGGTTTCTTCTTTACATATTTAAGGAGAACTGTTCGAATGTGTGAGTCCACAATTTTTTCAATAAGCAGCTGACGAAGAACAATTCAATAGAAATGTTTTCACCCTCTTATGTTTCTKCTGACGTTTTATCACCTCACGCGACAAAATTCATGTCACGATAATAAGGTCAGAAAATTCCAATTACTTTTTTTTAGTAAAATTTTTTTAAGATTTACTTAATCGAGCTAACATGAATTTTACATGTCAACAAATATTTGTAAGTAAAACTTTTCAAGAATTCGCGGTCTGAATGGCGCCTGTCATTCCATATAACATTAATTATTTCGTCTTTACTTAGGACTCCCGTGAAACTTCACAATAGCCGCCCACTACATGAAGAACGCAAAATATTGAAACCACACTWAACTATTACATGAAAATATAAATTAAGTTACAGACGTACATTAAATATTTGTRTACACATAGTCAAAATATGATAAGAAAATTACTTTTAAATTATATTGATGGGTATATCATTTGARAAGACATCGATTCGGAATCTTAGTAAGGGACAATTCATAAATTAAATATTCTAGAACGCTGCTATACCAGCGCGCGTGTAGAAACAGCTGAAGAATTTACATAGATCTAGAGTTCTTATGACGCATTTCYAACGAATGTTGCTAGAAGCATTTGAGAAAGAAAATCAATATGTTTACTAAGACAAGAATGATTTTTTATAGGTTTTGATATGAGCAATGAAGAAAGCAATTATACTTATAACAGCGTTACTACTATAACATCAATCATTCGTTGTAGAACGATTAGGGATCGTTTGGGCTTTTACTTGGCAACCATAGAAATTTTCAGAATTCGTAGTRTAAGAAATTCAATGTGCAAGAAGAATGTGATAAAACTACGGAAATATTCAACAGAAACTGCACGGATTTTCGATTATATTACAAAATATCTTCATGATATTTATGACTTGCGACCGAATTATCTTTGTAAGCAAAAGGAAATGTGAGAACTGACATTCTCAATATTGCATATTCTAAGGACAAACACGGTCATTTTGGACCGCATCTTATATTACTTTGGATAACATTCACACAATCTTACCGGCGAGAGTAGGCGAGGGACTTAAAAAACTCGAAGTCGATGCATTCAGTGCCCCAGACAGCGAAGAAGTTCCATTGCTCGCGGTTGTAAAACATGATCCTTCGATCAGAACTATTACTAGGGTAAGAATTACTTTTCTAAAGTCCGCCATATTTGTTGTTTTTAAGCCGAAATGTGTCACCTTSGATGACGGTTCTCTACCATGACTGGTCTGACTTCATTTTGTTCAACATTTTAGCTTGATTTTTTGAACGGTATTCGTTTTCATCATCGCTTAGTAACGAAAGTGTTTACCTACTTACAAATAACACGACRCGGTGCCGAATTCTCGAACAAAGACCACGTGACYGAMTTCCCAAACAATCGATAAAATTTCGGGTTATTTTCAACCGTGAAGGGGTCCCCTTGGGAGTTTACCTACAAATCTTTTCAGAATTTCGACTAAGGGGGGACCCCTKAGATTCTCACAAAACAGCCTATATTCTTAGATTTTGTTTTATCTGGGGGCCACACATCGATAAATTTCGAATCAATGTGTATTATTTGGGCGATTTGGTTAAAATAAAACTGTTTTGAATCGAGATTTTATCATTTTTCTCGTCAAAACATTCATGACGTCTTGGTAATCCTGGATTTCGATTGGCTGAGCCTGACGTCACAACATGGAAGGCAAACTCGGTTTCTCTGTGTATCACTAAAAATTCGCTGTTAGGAGAATCGACCTGGCATCCGAAGTCGAGATGAATTGTAAAGGACTTAGAGAGTAGCTGGCTGGCTAAACAAAACGCCATCGTCTTTTTAAGACATTAGGCAGCAGAGAAGATTTTGATAGACAAAAATCGGGTATGTATTTTCAACGAGATTTGGGTTCAAAAATTTAGCTCTAAAGCGATTTTTTGTACACAAAGCCAACAGAAAATGTTCCCCACAGCAGGCGAAATATCACAATCTTGCTCACTTTGATAAATATTTTTAATTTTTATTTGAAGTTATGTTTTTAAGAGATAGTTTTTTGAGTTTTTTTGTGTGCCAAGAAAGAAAATTATGTATAAACTTTCATCAACAAACCGCGAGCATCGATCGCTTCTACTGAATTTATACCGTAGAGATGTTTGTGATTTTGTAATAATATATAATTGTAAAAGTATGATTAAAATTATAATTTTTTTTCCTTTCAGATATCTTGGATTTGAACAACCAAGTCAGGGGAAAGGAATTTACGCGGATTTATGGTGAAGCTTTATTATATTGAAGAACTTGGACAATAACTTGCCTGGAAGAAACAACAGCCATTCAACAGTAATAGCAAAAAACTTTATCCGTACACTATTCCTGATATAAGTGATTTTGAATTTTTTGCCATTGGTCAAAATTCCTGGGTTACAGCTTTTGGGTGATATTTTCTTTGAGTGAAATCAACTGTGTTTAAGTCCCTCATCAACGATTCTGTTTTCACTGGTTCAACATGGAACGATTCGTGGWGCTGGTCATGGTTTCAAACAACGTTCTCCCAGTCAAGGAATTACATTGATACCTCGAGTTCTTTGATTGAACATTCGGATTAAGTGTTCGAATTGTTCGATCGAGGCTTCGATACTGCTGCGGCGCGCTTCCAAGTCAACACAAAAACTCTGTTTACATAAGAAGAAGAAATGCACTGCTTCAAAAGACGAGCTTATTCAGTAGTCTATTAAATTTTGGATTTATTTTAGCAAAAAGGAACTCCGATTATCTGTTCTAGAATGTACAATGTTAGTTTCTAATGTCGGTCGTAACTTGTCGATTTCAACTTCAACACGGTAGCCGCTCAAGCTTTATGAAATGGCCCAAACAGAATTGATTTCGCATTCAAATGGAGCTTTTTCATCTTTCCAACCCAATCGCATTAATCCTAAGACCCAGTGTCGAATTCAGATTGATACGAACGCTTTGCGATGTCTTACTCAAACTCTAGCAGATACGTACAAGAGATGTGGTCTGAACGTCAGTGAACGCATTTCTGAAACTACAACTGCGGCGAAGAATGAACCCGCATCTCATAGTAACAGTGAAGGAGATTACAATGTTGTACTTCACGAGGAACTCTGTTCGGCTACGAGTCGATATGAGGTTTTGGAGTTCCTTGGACGCGGAACTTTTGGTCAGGTATTGAAATGTTGGAAAAAGGGAACGAATGAATTGGTTGCCATCAAAATACTTAAAGATCACCCAAGCTACGCTCGGCAGGGACAAATCGAAATCCGAATACTGGCCCAGCTAAGTGCGGAAAATTCCGAAGCCTTTAATTTCGTGCGCGCCATAGAATGCTTCCAACACAAAAACCATACATGCCTAGTATTCGAAATGCTACAGCAAAATTTGTATGACTATTTGAAGCAATCGAAGTTYAGTCCCTTACAGCTGAAACACATAAGACCGATCGTACAACAAGTACTCGTTGCCCTGTCGAAGCTCAAGTCTCTTGGAATAATCCACGCTGATTTAAAGCCGGAAAATATTATGTTAGTCGACCCCGAAAAGCAACCTTACAGAGTAAAAGTGATTGATTTTGGCTCAGCAACGCATGTTTCGAAGGCAGTTTGCTCGACGTACCTCCAAAGCCGATATTACAGGTAAGAAATTACGTATTCTTTTATGTCCACAAGTCTTTTGTTTGCCAACGTAGTTACTTATCAGGGAATTTTAGTTTTTGTTTCAAAGGATATCGTGAAAATTAAACAACGCAGCGCTTGCAGAAATCCTTTAGATGGTAATATCCAAAGTGGGATAACGTTACGAGACTTAAATCAAGTTCTTGAAAATGTCATAGTAAATTGAAAGGTGAAAAATTTCACTTTTAATTACGTTGGAGGAAAAAAATCCACGAAAAAATATTGATGAAGAATGTTTAAGAGACGTTAAAATGAATGGAACTTGATGTTTTCTGTTGTAACTGTTTTTTCGCCCTGAAGGCAATCTCAATGTGAAGCTGAAGTAGAGTGGTGTTTTCGTAGAGCTCCTCTCATGAAATRCTTTTGTCCAATTGAGCTTTCTCTCTAACGCACAGCAAACACTTTGAGACAATTAGATTTGTGATTCGCTCGTGTTCGCATTTTATATACCACAAAAACACTGTTTTTGCGCCYCTTTTTGGACTGGAACAGTTTTTAATCCGAAAAGTGTTCTAACAAATATTTCATGTTTTTCTTGATGTTAGGATTTAGTTATCACAGAGGCTGGCCATTTAATTCTTTGCGTGCAATTTGCTCTTTGTTGTTAATGGATTGTACATATTTGAAACATTTTAAATTTCTGATGAAAAGGATTTTGGTCATAATTATTGCGAAAGAAATGGCTTTATTGTAATTAGTAAGCTTTCAGCTGTAACWGTTCACCACGGGGATATTGGTCAGAGGAAAGAGAGAAATAAAAGGATGAATGCATGAATGGATGGATGGATGGATAAAAAAGAAATTGAGAAATGAGAAATAGAAAAGAATTGAATAAAAAAAGAAAAGAAATATTTTTTTTCATAATTGGTTTGCTGTAGTTATMATCATCATCATCATGATCATTATTATTTCAATTTTTTCAAAAGTTCAAAATTTCTTCTTAAATCATTGCAGGACAAAATGTAGAAATAGCAATCATTGTGTTCGAACGAGATCAAAAAATCACAATCARTTCAATATGCAATCTGATAGTCTGTTTATAAATACACTATTTTGCTGTGATTTTTATGGATTCAGTGTCTTAATAAAACATTATATATTTTGTCAACATATATAGTTTAAAACAAATCCATTTAAAGTGGAGTTAATCCCAAACAACATGATTCATTTTTATTAATTTTAACCATTGGTTCTTTTGTTTAAACACAACTTCAATTCCATGAAGTRAAGTGAAACTGCAAGTCACTACTATGACATGTTTACACATCTGGTGAAATGGTTATTTATTTTATGTTCAATTGTACAGAAAAAGAAACAGTTCCATGTATCATGTCTGTAATATCTCAAATTTTAATGAACAAAAATATTATAATTTTACAAAAATCTTTTCAATCGATAATGCCTAAGGGCTTTYTCTTTACACACTACAAATAAATAATTGTAAAGTATTTCATTCTATGTATTTTCTGCTTTCTTATTGTTGAAAAGTTAGACAAAAGACTGTGTTTTTTTCATGAGCCATTCTCTTATCTCAAACTGTAATAAATATGCTTTCAAAGAGTTCAGTTTCATTTACTAATGAATTAATTTTTTAAGAAATTTTTTTACCTTTCTATCAAATGATATGACATTTCTTATCTCAAAGATAACAAAATCAATGTTTGAAATAGCCTCTGCAGATGTGAAGCACTACATTATAGATGCAAGGGAATATTTTCAATATTTGCTTGTATCAGAGCATATTARCATTTTCACTTAGGAAACTGATGGTGTTCTTAGTATTAGACTCTCGGCAGCTCAGAATCAGATATCTGGAGATTTGTTTTGGAGGGTAACTGTTAAAGACATTTTCTAAACTTTAATGTTTACATCCAGTTTAACATAATCCTTAACAACTACAACTTTTACTTTTTTCATAATTTTAAGAGATTTTTATGATATTATTAGTTAATCAAGCAGTTGTACATATGTCTTTATTTGTAATAAAAGCAATTCACCTCTGTCTATAATTAGACAAATTATTATTAACTATACAATAGTATATACTAACTAGCAATCACTATAGAAAATGATACTTTCATCCCCTGCCCTCCCACCCTAGAACTTCCCCATAYCATCCCCCCTTAGTACCAGAAATGTCCCACACCAAAATGTTAAAATAACTGTAATTTAAATCTGTTTTCTGCATAATTTTGTTTAGAGCTCCAGAGGTGATAATTGGCCTTCCTTTTACTGAATCTATTGATATGTGGTCTCTTGGTTGTGTCATTGCTGAACTCTTTCTTGGCTGGCCTTTGTATCCAGGCTCCTCTGAATATGATCAGGTATGCTGTGGTCCTTCATTTGATATCATTGCCTGTCTTGGCCTTATGTAGTATAGTAGACCTCAGGGGCGGATCCAGGGGAGGTGCTTTGGGTGCAGACACACTCCCCCTTTTCGGACAACATAATTTTTTTTATATATCAGTATAAACGTTTTTTTCTGCTGTTTATATTCTTGTTGTACTTCTATCGAGAAAACGAGTAGCATACACAACATGTGTATGCCACTAGGCTGCTTAACAATCTATTTAAGTAGTGTAGTCAAAGATACKTTGCAATAAAAGTCAATTTGCTTCCGGTCAAATTGTGCATAGCTTTCTTGCTGTAGGTAATACGCGCTAACAAAAATGATCAGTTCCATCTGCTATACTTAGCTTTTAGCTATATATTACTGATAAAAGCACCCCCCCCCTTATAAAATGCTGGATCTGCTCCTGGACCTGCATGTAACTAATTGCAAGAAGGTTGCAGGTTGAGTGCATCAGTGATAAAGTGGGAAAGATTTTCCTTTCTTCCATGTCTTCTTTCATTTTCCCATTTTTCTTTCATTTATCCATTTGTTTATTAATTCATTCAATCTCCCATCCATTCATTTGTCCAATTGTCCATCTATTTATCCATCCATTCATTTGTTCATTCACCTTCCCATTCAGTTTATTTATCATGTTATTAATCAATGTCGTTATTTCATAGATTCGGTACATCTCCCAGACCCAGGGTCTTCCACATGAYTACCTACTGAACAATGCAACCAAGACTAACCGGTTTTTCAAGAAATGTATAAACAACCAAACCGGTTTATTGGAATGGAAGTTAAAGGTATGAAACAGTCAATCATCTCTGTGTGACTCCCAGAACTAGTTCTGGTTTAAATTTCTTTCATCTTGACAACAACACTGACAACAGAGACAGCAATAACAACAGCAACAACAACAACAACAACACCAAAAACAATCATAAGAACAAAACTCATAACAACAAGAACAGCAACAACAACAACAATAACAACAACAACAACAGCAGTAACAACAACAACACCAACACCAAAACATAAGAACAAAACTCATAACAACAAGAACAAGAACAACACCAACAACGGAACATAAGAACATTTAAACTAAGTTTAATATTACAAAGAAGATGAAAGGTGGCAAGGAAGAGAGAAAAAGAAAAAAAACTTCCAAAGCGAAAATGGCTAAAATTCTGTTGGGTATTGGAGAACCAGAAGATACTCCTACGTTTTCTTTTCTTTTCTACGTTTTATTGAATTTTATTGTTCGTGGTCTGTTTTGTTTGCTTGCTCATTCAGAGTTAAAACAAATTAATTTTRACAAAATTTGATGAAACGGTGATCCACTCGATCATTCATTTGGTAGTTCATAAATTGATCATCAATCATATGTCGAACAAGATGGTTTAAAAAACACACGTTATTTGAGTGCCATGAATATTGATTTTCTGGAAACTATACATTTTTATTTTATAAAAATAACTATTTTATATCATTTTATAGAAATAACTCACTTATGGATATCACATTCCATTTTAATATTAATCCATCCATTTATTCAGTTATTCATCCAWTCACGCGCTTATCAAAATCACTATCCCTTTTATTCATCCATYCATTCATTTATGCATTTTTTTCTAATTCAGAGTGGGGGTGAATACGAACGAGAAAGCAARATACCRKCGAAGGAAGCTAGGAAGTACATCTTCAATTGTTTGGACGATATATCCCAAGTTAGTTTATCAAGTRKTCTAACTGGAAACGACAGAATCGCTGAGAAGATTGACAGGTAATAAAACAATGGAAGCTAGATGACAACATGGCGGAAACTCTGTGAATTRATGTTGTTCATGAATTCCGGTCGGTAAATCTTCAATCTTTGTCGACGCTTTTGAAAGTAGAATAGAAACACTGTTGTTTTGAATGTTGTGGTATTGAGTTATCACGACAAAAGTGAACAATGGAAAATATAGAAGTTCAGGACGTTGATGCCGTAATAAGAGAAAACAAAAGCAAAAATATAAAAACAAAGGAAATAAAGAAATAAAGCGGAAATAAAGCGAATTAAAATAAACACTGAAAACAACAACAAAATGAGAACACAAACTAAGAATGAAGATAAAGTAAGTGAACAAGAAGACGACGCCACAACAATTAAATGAAAGCAAGCAATAAACATGACAAAAAAGACATTTGAAATAAAGAGAGTTTGGAAAAGGGTAGTTTTGTCTCGTTAATTCTTTAATTTCCTCAATAATYGCACCCAAACTACTTATATTAAGATATATTGTTCTGAAGGTGGTCGTATTCTGAGGTCCGACCGTATTGATGTATTTTTCAGGTATCAGTTCGTGTCTCTATTGAAGAGTATGCTGTCGATCGACCAAGAGAAGCGAATAACACCAGATGAGGCTCTCAACCATCCCTTTATCACACTATCACATCTCATCGAGTTTGCTCACACTARCATGTAAGTATGTTTATTCGATCATTCGTTTGATCGTTCGTTCTATTTGTTTTTCGAATACTCGTTCGATTAGATTTCAGATTTTCGTTTGATTAGATTTCGATTTTATTTCCGTTCAGTTAGATTTCAGATAATTCGCTCTATTTGCTCGTCTCTTTCGCAGCCCTCGGAAAGGAAGTTAGACAAAAGGAAGGACTGTAAATGAGACTGCCGATTATTCGTTCCATTTAATTTCCGATTATTCGTTCCATTTAATTTCCGATTATTCGTTCCATTTTCCTGTTATATTAATTTCAACCGTGTTTAATTCTTGTTGGTCTATTGTAGTTTTAAGATGGCTGTTAAAAACATGGAAGTATGTTGTCGAAACAGAGGACTTGCTGACCCATCAACATATGCCGCTCCCACCATAYTAGGCTAYCCCCCATCTGCAACCTCGCCTTATTTATCCATGGGACTGGGAGCCAGTGAGGGAGTCATGCCTCAAGATCAGATTGGTCTTGTCCGACGAACGGACCCGTATGTTGCAAGAGTTAATTTGACATTGCCTTCATTGCAGCCGATGGTATGTAGCGATCGATTTTGTTCGGCCAACGAGATGGTCGCTTGGTCGTGTTAACGCGTTCATTAGTCACGTGTTCACGAGTCACGTAATTATTGATTAAAAAGCTTTGAAAACTGCTAAGTATCGGTCCACACTTAAGAGTGTACCCTGMGAGAMGAGGTTTCCTAGAGGTTGGCAATCGGGGCTCTGTGGATCAACAGTGTATGAGAGCCCCTGCCATCAGGTTATTTGGCACAATAATTTTGCATATCAACTGGTGAGATCGGAATCGGAAGCATATGAGAAAAATGCTTCGTTATGATTATGTTTCTTCTTATGTCGAAAAAAAAGTGTGAACCCGTGCAAAATATTCATATGTGGTCATGTTTATGTCAAGTGTGAATCAGCTTGTGTTTGTGCTTATGTTACCGCGTGGATCGGTCCTAAGGGTTGGTGTTTTCAAAGGCTTTATTTATYTATCGAATATTTACACTGTTTTTCATCCACTTTCTTTTGCTTCCCCTTTTATGACTTGTTCTCTTCTCATCATTTCTCTTTCCTTTCTCAGTGTTTTATTTATTCTTAATTTGCTTCTATTTTATTCACAGCCCGCTGTTCAACCAAGAACCGATTTCCTTCAACCTCATTGCACGCCACAACATGCGATTCTTTGCCAACCCGAGAATGTCTCTCCTAAAAAGCATGTCTTTGCCAATCAGCAGCCGCTTGGGCCCGTCGTGGTWTCCATGGGYTTACCTAGYAACAATCTACCAATGGCATCGWCGAATGGACTTTATGCAAAAGTGCCCGTATGTAGAGTGTGAGCTTTATAATTTCATCTCGATGTCTGTAGTAATGTTGATCATTTTTTTATAGAGTGCTCCTATTCCAACATGGCCGACTAACCGCTTTGGTTCAGACCCAGCACTACCGGTGAGCATATTGCATTTAATAATCATGTAGAAGGCAAAACCTTTTGTGACAGCTTTTGAACACAACCTGTGCTTGCATTCACAAATTGCGTCGTGTAAATCAAGCCTACAACTCACTATAACTACCTAAAGGTTGATTGACACTGTACAACTTTGGTGTACAACCTGTGCGTGTCATACATACAACACGAATTGCGTCGTGTAAATCAAGCCTACAACTCACTATAACTACCTAAAGGTTGATTGACACTGTACAACTTTGGTCTACAACCTGTGCGCGTCATACATACAACACGAATTGCGTCGTGTAAATCAAGCCTTCAACTCACTACAACTACCTAACACTGTACAACTTTTGTCTACAACCTGTGCGTGTCATACATACACTAACACGAATTGCGTCATGTAAATCAAGCCTACAACTCACTACAACTACCTAAAGGTTAATTTACACTGATTATTTATTTATCAATCATTAATTTATTGTGATTGTTTAGGCGCTTCATCACCCATGGGCAAGTGCATTAGGTGTTGGTGCAGTTCAGCCGATTCTACAGGATGTTATGCAAGGTGTTGAGAACCCAAGGTATCAATATGTCAATCATCTATATTATATGTCAATCATCTATATTACAGCCTTTTGCAAAAATTATGAGAATTGTCTAAATATCTAAATATCATAATATCCATATCCATATATTGTCCGGAACACGCAGGTTTGCGAGAATAATTCATTGTTGACATCGAGAAAATGTTCAGAACTACGGATAAGTCTGTCGCCAAAAAAAAGCTAAACTACAAAAACAAGGGACTAAGGGCATCGCGCGGGATTACCCATCATGCACTCGATATTATGATATTTAGATATTTCAACAATTCTCATAATTTTTGCAAAAGGCTGTATCGTGAATACATTCGATATAACATGTTTTTCTCGTCCCCAGTCGACCCATGAATCCTCCGCCGTCGGGKACCTGGCGCGGTTCTGATGATAACGGCTATATATCTGCCGAACCCAGTCCGGGGCTATACCGAATGGTAATTATAGCTGTCTCGTTTCTCTTTTGTCTGTCTGCCTGCCTTGCAGTTGTAGTTTTGAAGAGGTGACACAGTGCTGACAAAAATCAGAGAAATTATAACTAAAATATACGAATGTTGCTCGTCAATCATGACTGGATGATGTCTCATCGTCATCATCATCATCATTTCCCCTCTCAGTACGTAATGAGCAGAGTTGCGCGCACATTGTTTTCCCAGTACACAAATATGTGTTCAGTTTTCTCTTAATTGCTTTCTAATGTCCAATGCAACTTTTTGCAATGTTTGATACCAGTCGAGTATTCTGTATTAGCGAGTATTGTCCTGCATTTATTTAACACGTAACATCCATTTCCAGGAAGGAGACGGCAGTGCATATGATCGCAGACATGATGTGAGTACAAAATGGCTGTTGCTATAGTAATAGTTGCCATAGTATTATCACAGCAATTGTTAAAATATTAGTTACCATTGCGTTCGATATCATGGAGTTCGSTTCTGCATTAATTAATCGTTACCATAGTGACGGTTACTATATAACCTTTCCTTAATGATCGTTACTAAGGTCCCATCAACTGTGATAATTTACTCACTCCTGACACTCTTTTTTTTCTTTTTTTTTGTAGCATCGGCGTGGGCCTGGACAAGAGCCATACAGACCAGCAGGCTCAGTTCTGTTTTCTGTTATGCCCATAATGCAACAGCACTCAACTGTGGCACCCCCTGTTTGGAATGGCCCTCGTATTCCTACCAATCTATTTCCATGGCAACTTCAACCCATTCAAAACCATCCGTTGCATTCTGGGAGTTCTGGGAGTCATACGTCACTACGGAGGACCCTTTCAACGCCGTGCAGGAAGAGAGTAAGTGAATACCGGAGTTACTTCAATGGGGAAAACCCTCGATTCTCAGGGGAAACCCCAAGAGAAAGTAGTCCATTGTTCAGTCATGAAACGCCTTGTTCGGCGGGCGTTACCAAGACGACGTCTTCACCAATCGAAATCCCTGACAGTCCTTCTTCTCTTAGTGTCATCACTATTTCTAGCTCGAGCGATGAGATGGAGCCCAGTTCACTTGAAGCGAGCGGAATTGAGCCAGCTTTGATCACATCCACCGGAAATGACTTTACCACTTCCGCCGGAAATGACTTTACCACTTCCGCCGGAAATGTCGTAGAAGATCAAGAGGAGCCCCAGGAACAAAGCCAGAATGAGGACAATTTTGAYGGGTTTGGAGACGATGAGGAGGAGGACGACGAAGATGAAGACGATTGCGTTGTAACATCGTCGTTTTCCGTCGGTAGTGCGAGTCCTGCGATGAACGATTTCTCAAACAGTCAACATCCCAGTTACAATGGAAACGCTGAAGATGATGACGTAGTGAGCTCAACGACCGATATGCCAGGAGTGGATGGGTATCAATCTGATCATAATACTGGTCCACTGCAGGGAAATCAGGTCCATTGCTCAGATACAGAAAGTGCCGACGAAAAGGGCGACGYACACGACGACATGATGAACACGCGGAACCATCGTCAGCGGCATTCCCATCAAATATCGACGTCATCTCGAACTCGACCTAGTTCCCTGGGCGTCTTTTCGCATTACTCAACTCCAAATATGCAGACCGCTGGCACTTTTATATCGACGGCTCTTCCGTATGTGCCTCAGCAAACCTTACTCGTCCCAGGCCGTGAACAACGATGTTGTGTAAGCGATGTRTACCAGGAGCCTGTGTTCTTATTACCTCCTGCGCATACTCARGTCATGCAACAGCCGCTGTTCACTGGCGTCAATGGCGCTAGGGTAACCACCGGAGCACAGGGTCACGTGCCGTATACGTACGTCAATCCCACATCGACGACTACCGGGGCTTTTATCACACCTTTGTCGCAAGCACCAGGTGTACTTCCCCGGGGAAATCTACAAACCCCAACTCAGAATGGAATCCCMATGACAGGGCAGAGTTTTCCTGGACAAATCCCGTATACCAACCAGATGTACCAAACCCCGGTATTCGGTGGGTTAAAAACTTATAACATTGTACCGAATGGATCTACCGGGCCGTACGGACCTTTCGTGGTGAATTCAAGCCCAACAAAAGGCCGGCTGTTCTTTCCGTGAATTGTAGTAAGTGATAGAATTTCTTATACACGGGATACCTGTGCGTTAATATAAAATGTTTGGGCACCCTGTGCCACATAGCCTGAGTCATAAGTGAGCCAGAGTGATTTTTAAAAATATACCATAATTTCTTAGTAGAATTTTAGATATTTAGAATGAACACCTTCAGGGTATCCTACATTTATCAATTATTGGATACTACCCTACATTTATCAATAAGAGRATACCATTCTACATTTATCAAATTGGTTGCCATGGTGATCAATATCGTGGTATCCCGTATGTACCACAGGGAGATATCTTAAAATTMGCTCCCCTTTAGGGAACTTATTTAGCTTTGCACTTGGAATTGTGCATTTTTCTAGTGTTTTATCATGTAGAATGTAGTAGGGGGTTGAGGGGGAGTTTTTCTATTGCAGCAATCACGTGACTTAATCATAGTTGCTATAGTAACCTAGTCGTGCTATTTATATATCAAATAACATTAAATTATCGCGTTTATCTGCACGAGTTTTGAAATTTTAAGAGTTTTAKCAGGATGAGGTTTTAGAATTTTATTTTATTKGCAAAAAAATGATACTTTTATGGCTTGAGGAGTTTTAAGTCGGTTTGTGTAAGTGTGGTGTGTGTGTGGTTGTATACTTTAAGTTGTAGACACGTTGTCGCTTGTAAACTGGTTGAGAGCGAAATGCTGTATGGGATATTTATATCCCGTCAATCACAGCGGCCTTAGCATTTCGTTGTAATTCAAGTTACAACGTTTCTTTAACTTTCTATACCAATTTTAATGTCGTTTTGGTCGTGTTATAAATATAAACGGCAGATGTTTTTTGGTAAAATGGAGTAGTATCCACGAGTTAATTCTGTGCAGTTAATACTGTACATCTCGTGGAAATTGCCCTAGTTCATTATGATGTCACATCAAAACATTCTATTGTTTTAACGCTAAGGATTATGGTCGCCAGAAGGGATCAGAGTGACTGCATGTCAAATCAAATGTACATGAACAATCATTTATACATGATATATATCAAAACGCGATTCATTGAGGTTTTACTTTAGGAGACAATATAAATGAGTCTAAATTTCCACTGTTTTCGAGCATCGTTTTCCGATGTAAACATACTGTGACGTCATAATGAAATAGGGCAATTGC